ATTACCGGTATGTATATATATTTCAAATACTGTAAATCACTATATTTTCGCGACACCTTATTTTTGCGAGATAGTCATTGACTCTTTATTAGCGACACATAATTTTCACGAATTGTGGTTATTCTTTATATAACCTTAAGGAATACTATTATACGCGAGAATGAAATTTTCGCGAGCTCACTGTCTCGCGTAATTACGCGAAAATAAAGTTCTCGCGAATAAAAAGTGATTTACAGTACATGTATATAATTTTAAAATAAAAAGCTTTTGAGTTATAAAGTTTGTAATATTTTTTCCCTATAGTGGGATCGTATCTACTGAGTTGTGTGTACTGGAGAACACCGCTGGTTGTGAGGCTGGAGAACGGGCCTCTGTGGAGGATGCCTACAAAGACGTGTCCAGTGTAGCCATGAAAACCTGCCAGATGGACAACACTAAACCCATGCAGGTCATGCAGAGAAGGCTCAGTGGTGGGTATCTCTTTGAGTGAGAGACTCATGTTGGTTATTTCTACTGTTTTATGAAGTGAATGATTCTGAGGAAAAGAATTACTAGTAAGTTATTGAGGCGATATTTCAATTTTAAGTTTGTAAATTTCAGCGGAAATGTGTGACATGAAGAAAGCAAAGATGTGCTTAAGTGGAATGTTTGACAAGGTTGCTATGACAACAGTTTCAACGGAAGAAGTAGACCAAAAGAAACTTTGTGGGTGAGTATTACTTTGAAATATATTGAAAAATTAAAAGTAACATTCTCTGACTTGAGAAATACATGTAACAATGATAATTGATGACAAAGTAAAAATTGATCAGTAAAGTCAAAGAATACTAGTGTAATGGAAATTTACACATTTTAAGCATGGATAAAACTTGCATGTATCTTTGCCTGTAGAGGTTTTATATTCATTGTCTAAAGCATGTTTCATTTTGACCATTGTGTGATGAAAAGTGTGCATAAGATATTTTTATATGGGACATTAGTTGTTTATCTTGGGAAGCTATTTATATTATACATTAGCGTGCTGTGATCATGTCTGTTTTATAACATTCAGTGAACTACATGAGATGGCAGAGTGTGTCCAGAAGAGCAGCATGAACTGTGGTGAGGAGGACAGAATGAAGATGGCTGCCCACGCTCCGCTGGTCATGGGACTTCTCAAGGGAACATGCTCAGAGGAAGAAGAGGAAGAAGGTGAGCATTATACACTTTGTTAATATGTTTACAGACTGTGTGCATTGGAAAGTTGTCATTGTCATTCATCAGACATTATATCTAATGTCATTTTTTTTCAGATGAAAAGGAATCTCATGGTAAGTTGGAATACTTGATAATTATGTTCACATTCAAAGTCAGCTGGAATAAGGAAAAATTAATGGAATCAATGGAAGGAGATTTAGGGAGTTCCATTTTGTGTTGTAGAATCCAACATGTGTAAGATGACAGCAGTGAGATGCCTGAGGGATTATATTCAGATTTCTACAATGGATTCCCTCTCAGACTACTGCAGGTGTGTAGGAATTCTTGTTAACTGCTTGTAAACCACTGAAAAATAAACTAAAATTCTTTAGTTTAAAAAAATGTATCTTTTTATTTTATCATACATAAAAAATTACATTACATGAACTTGGGACTGTTTACTGCCTTTTATAAAAACATGTACTTTGCACTGTTTAATCTGTTTTCCACATACAAAACAATCATTACATATTACCAATAAGGTTTATTTGTGAGCTAGAACTTCAGATGTACAGATTTTATTTCAAAAGTTGGTACTGTATTTTACATGTTATTGAAAAAAAAAATTATCAATTTCAGGCAGGTGCCCCCTACCATGAAATGCCTGTCTAGTGCCATGACTGGCTGTAACAAGAGATTCCAGAGTTTGGTGGGTATGGCTATAGACCAGATTGGGGAGACCTCCGGAATGGTGTGTAAATCTGAGGGCTGTAACATGGAGCTGGCTTCTATGTGTATGATGGAGGCGGGAGCTCTACTGAAGATGCCTCCACAGACATTTACTGACAGTCCTCTGTGGTGTGGGTAGGTGTAAAGATGGACTGATATTATTGTCATTGTCTGTATTAGCTATAGGATGAAAATTAGGCTTTTGTTTTATAAATCTTTACAAACATTTATTTTCTAAGCTTAAAATTCGGAGTGGAGATTTTAAAATAGCATTTCTTATACTACTACAACTTACAACATGTATATAAACATATTCTGAATAATTTGTTTTTGTCTTCATATGGAGGATCATCTAAATACTAAATGTTAATATAAAAATGTGGATACATGTATACAATGTTTTAACACAGATTTGTAAAACATGCCTTGAGCTGTGTTGAGATGCATGGGAAATCTTGTGATATGAGCAGGATGCCTCTGTCAGCCGCCTGGTACAACTCCAGTAAGTGGATGGTTGGGGTACTGTGTCAGGAGAAACCCAAGCCTAACCCAGTCCTGGCTCTAGCTCCTTCCTTCCAGTTGGAGGGGCTCTTCTCCTTGGTTTCTTTGTTGGGTAATAGATACTCTACCAAGGAGACAATTTGTCCGTAAGTAACATCACTCTGTTACTGATTTATGTCAGTGTTGATGTAAAATAACTAGCAATCTAAAAATTTGAATGTTTTTCATTTATTACACTTACTTTGATACATTATTTGATACTTTCTCCTTACAAAATGTATGAAACTTAAAATGGAAATTCATGAATCTTTAAAATTATTTTCAGACAATACAGGAGCATGATGATGTCTGTTTACGAAGCTGCTTTTGTCTTGAGCCCCGAAGTGTATGCTCAGATGGTTCAGGTGTATCGCCTACCCATGAAGATAGTGGGTAACATCTGTTACAGTAGAGAGGAGGGCTGGACTATGTCAGACAAGATAGCCACGTGTGATGTTAAGGCGGCCTACCAGTGTGCACAGGAAGCAGCAATACACTCTAAAATCACCAGCAGTGTATTCTATGGCTGGGAACCAGTCTGCCAGTAAGTGGTTCAAGGAAATTACAAGTTTGACTGAGTGGTGATTTTTTTTCTTTAGCTCCCTTTAGGATGGGTTCATTTAAAAATCCTTAAGAAAATGCTTACTTTTGTTTCATCCCTGAATGTTTAATTTTCTACAGGTCCCTGGAGAAGATGACGTGTTGTGTAGAGACAGCTACCAGTGACTGTATGGACCACCAGTCAGTCCTAGCCGTCAGGTCTCTCTATCGCGAGGTCTATACTGCTGTGGGAGATAAGTGTTCTGCTCGAGATATCTCAGCTCGACTCATGAAGTCCTGTCCAGTACCAGTCCCTAAGAAGTGCGAGATCACTAACGCTATCAATAAATGTCTCCTAAATATTGGGTCAGAATCGGACAAACAGCAGATTTGCAGGTTAGATTCAGTATTTATATCATTGTTTTTAGGTCACCCGAGTCATTGCTTTTTGGTCTCTTGTCCATAGTAAATTTAAAAAAGAGTTAAAGGATCTAAGGTCATTAGAACAGATCAAGGTCAGTGAAAAATTAATACAAATTTTTTCCCAAGGTTACAAGTTAGGAAGAGACATAGAAAGTTTGTGTTGATGAAGGGGAAGTAGGGAAATTTTGATTGGGTCAAAATATTTTATTTGAGCTGAGCATTTTATAAAAAAAAAATGTGAAATACCCTTGATACTGAACCATGAAGGCTAAATTTTTTGTTATAAATAAGCAAGTAAATACTGTAATATGCGGTCAATTCATAGGAGTTGGAGTATTTTGAGATTGTTTTCTTCCTGTTATTCGTGGTGTTACTGGATGCGGAGGTTTCCCAGGTATTTAATTCTTTATAAAGCTGGTCCTTTCTATTCATTGATACAATTATTGTTATTTTGCAGCAAACTGCCAGATGTTGTTAAATGTGTCAAAGAACACACAGAAGGTTGTGCGGCTACCCAGAATGCACCTCTGGAGTTTATCTTGCGTAAATACAAGGAGTGGAGGCAGTCTTCCTGTGACCTCAGCGGGGTCAACCCAGAGGTCATGGTGAAGGATGAAACCTCAGATATGGCCAACTGTACACTGTTGTACCTGGACAGCTATTACAAGGGTTTGATCACCAAATCCAGCTTCATGGATACTTTATGTTCAGCCAAGAAAGAGGAAGAAAAGTGTATCGGACAAGCTAAGTACATTCCGCTACCGATGCAGTTCAATTTTGCCCAGACTATGGATCAGTATCAGCAATTCAGACAGATGTGCAATCAGACAACATTTGAAAACAAGCCAATGCCTAGCGGTAAGATTCTGTCTGAAAAAATAGGAAGGAAATCATTGAGAATGCAGCATTTCTTTAGAGCTTTATGTACAAGAATGTTATAATTTGGTTTTTTTCAGAACCATCAAGTTGTATGATGGATATGGCTGCAATGTGTATAGTAACTTATTCTCAGGCTGTGGTTAGATGGAAACTGACCCCAATGGCAGATAGACTCCCTATGTGTGGGTAAGAAATGTGCTCAGATTTTAGTCTTTGAATATTTTATAGAGTTGAGAAGGGACTGTAGCATTTAAGACTATTGTACATTTACTGGCACTTTTAGGTTAATTTTTTTACTAACACAAAAAAGATACCTCCTAATCATTGTATAAATCATTTTGTATTATTTGATGTAATAAGTGGGGTGGGAAGGGGGTATTTTTTTGTGATAAGAAAAATATACAAATGCCAAGAGCCAGTGGGCTATTCAGGAAAAATTAAAATCTAAAAATCTAAAAGAAAGTCAAATAGCAGATTAACTAAGATGAAATTTCTTATGTGTTTAGAAAGATTCTTGATGTTCAGAGGTGTGTCAATAACAGTATACAGACCTGTTCCAAGCAGCGACAAGACGTACTTAGGGATGGTCTGCTCTCCCTGGTCTATGAACATATGGCAGCCTGCCCATCATCTATTCTGCCTGCTGTCAAGCAAATGGATGATGTGTGTGCCCCTGATATGGCTTCCATGTGCTTCGAGCACTATGGCATGTACATCAGTGAGATCACTCCAGACAAAAAGGGGGAGGCTTGCAGGTATGTACATGTATAAGGCTAGGCAATAATATCATTGTTCCTGTACAGTAAAACTTGGTTATAATGAAGTCACTAGCATCTATGAAATTACCTTGCTGTATCCGTAATTCATTATATCTATATAAGGAATTCATCAAATTATTATTGTTGGGGATCCAAGATAAGTTAGCTGTATCCGTGAATTCGCAATATCCGTGTTAGTACTAAACAAGTTTTACTGTATAATGAAATTTGTTAAAAAGAAATGTCTTATTAATGTTTATCCTGCCTCTGTTAAAAAAATGTATCTTGAAATTCCATTTGCTAAGAGCAATACTTTATAAAACGAATTCCATTAGCTAAGAGCAATACTTTATAAAATGATGTTATGTTTTCTACCCATCTTAAATTGCTAATGTGCCCCCTCCAGGTGACCTACCCACCATATGTTAAAATTTACCAACCACACATAATCAATATACTGTTTTCATGTGACCCCCCATGGAGCTTCATAACTGACGTCAAAATGCGTCTGACAACAACAATGGATGTGGAACGATTTCCTTCCCTCAGTGAAAGCGATATATACAGTGTATCACTGCTATAAATATTTAGTCTTTTAGAGAACCATCGGCAGGATAAAATTACGCCTCGCCCAATATCTATTTTTTCAAGGACCCCAAATTTTCTGTATTACCCCTATAAGTATCCACATAACTAATAATGTATGTATTTTTAGTACTGATATACTGGTAAAATATAAAATTTAAGATGTTGCAAACGTTTTCTAATTGTGCCCAACACTTTAACAGTAAGGTTGCTGTTGTATGGTTGCATTTTATTGCAAAACAAGTGTAATCAACAAGAACATTTTTGCTTCAATGTTCTTTTAATACATACTCTGTAGTTATATAATTATATTACATTCTGGAGGTTTATAAAATAAATATTAACAAATCACAACAGTTGACGTTACCGCAGTATTTCAAATATTTATATTTTGAGAATAAGTGTTTACGATATAATAATTTTTGGAAAAAAATCTTAAAGAAATAGGTTTTAGGTTGAATACACTAATAATTGAAATATATTTTAGAAATAAAAAACCCCTCTTTTTATGATTTTACAGTAAATTCCATGAGACACTTAAATGTGTTCATCAATTCACCAAGAACTGTTCTGACAGTGTCAAAGGTTCTATCGACTTTAACCCCATTATGAACCATATCCGTAATATACTGGGGAATTCCTGTCCCCTGTTGTCTACCATCATATGTAATGTGGATATGTGGGAATCCACACTGCAACACTCAAGATGTGAACTGCCCAAAGCAAATCAGTGTCTGATGAAGCTTGACGAATACGCTAAAGCCAACATGACCAAAATGGACGGAATGTGCATGTAAGAGAGTTTAAATTCACCTCACATTATATAATATGCTAAGTAGATTTACAGATCTTCAATGATTCATGGACTTTTAGAATATTAAAGTGTTGCATAAGAATTCCAAATTTATTACAGGGAATATGCAAAAACCTTAGAGTGTGTTTTACAAAACACCATGACCTGCAAAGCTGAAGATGTCAAGGAAATCAACACCACTGTACATGTCATCATGGCAACACTAGGGTATGAATGCATGAAGATGGCTGCCAAGGATTCTAAGACAGGGAATTCTGGGATGCAGGAAATGTCCTTCCCCCTGCTGGCTGTTGTCGAGACTTGTAAGGCCAGGCCTGTGTGTTCACAAAGATGGCTGGACTGTGCTCCAGACATGAATGTTACTGTTGTCTGCAAGTAAGAAATCAGTTTTACTGTTTATTGAATGTATGGTGTTTTACATTACCTTTATCCTGTGATGCAAAGTAAATTAGTTACTTAGAGCTGATTTACCAGTGGTGACATGGTGCAATATTGTAGATTTAAGAGTTATTTAGAAATACAGATATATCATGATAATGTAGTTTTACTTTAAGACCATAATTTTGATTTACAGCAGTGGAGAAAAAATTGCCAATTGCATGTTGGAAAAAGCTGTTGGCTGCAGCAATGGGGCACAGTTGAGAGTAGCTCAGGATGTTCGATATTTTGCAAAAGAATTACAAAAATACTACACAGGTGGCAAGTGTAATTTCTCTGAAGTAGTGATAGAGAGAACTGAGATATTAGTTCCCAGAATGTTCGACAGTGCATGCTACCTACAGTTTTCTGCCAACATCACCGCCGTCATGAAGAATGCTTCAGCGTCTTTCTGGGATGTTTGCCCCATTCTCAGTCAGACACAGCAGTGTTTAGAGAGGGAGGGCTCAATCCTGGAACCCATGATTGGAGGGATTTGGAAGTTAGCTGCCCACAAGGTTGATCTTAACAAGTGCTTTGATGGATATGGTATGAAGACACATGTGATAGATACTGTATACAGGGAAATTTTAGCCCCTTTCACCCTCATCTGAAGTGGGCAAGTTCAAAGTATAAAAAAAAGCATGATTTTGTAAACAAAAATCTATCTGGGGGAATTGAAAATGTGGCAAACTTGTTTGCAAATGTGAAAGGGCGAAAAGTAATTGGGGAGAAAATAACCCTGTATACAGTACATGTACATATCAAAAATTAATTAATCTATGACAATGATTTTATTGGAAAATTATACTCATTATATAAAGTTGACAGATTGTAGCATTGGTGTAATGATCAGGAAAAGAATTTCTGTGTTAAGTTCAATTAAAATTTTTGCAGCAGAGGCAATGATGAAAATGAATATGAGCAGAGAAGACAGAAAGATGATGGAAATGGAAGACTGGAACATGACAATGCTGTACAATAGGACCATGAAAGGTTGATATTCTTAATGTAGGGATGGCAACTTGTAACCGTTTAACCGATTACTTATTCGGAACGATGGTAATCGGTTAGAAAATCTGTAATCCGTTGGATGGAAAAAATATAATTGAACATAAGTTTCTTTAAATTTGGTTATTAAAAAAAAAATCGCTGCACCTGTATTTAGCATTTTATCAAAATTATAAAAACTGAATAAGAGATAATTAATGTTCTCTGGGCTGAGATCACGGTATTTGGCCATTTTGAGTATGGTTAATTATTGTGCAAACACCATCCCAGTACCAAGACCGTCTAGTTTTTCTTAATGATGTTAACTAATTGACTGAGAGCACTGTGAAATGGTATGTTTGCCAGTAAGATAGTTCTCTATCTTATTAAAATATTAGACAAACATTTTAAATCAAGGGCTACAGTTCAGATTTGAAAAGAAACATTTTATGCAAAACAGGCTTCGTCTGTTATGCAAATTATTCTATGTTTCTTACTATAGTTGATGCCCTGGCATACTTTACTAACTAGACAGTGATTCCTTGAATAAAAGTTTTAGTTTTAGTTTTCCCATGTACTGTATAGGCATGGAGTTTACTTGAGAGAAAAATCATGTAATTTTTTACGATTAACTGGTTAATCGGTCAAAATGCTTTGCAGTTAACCAATAAGCAATTCTGTACTCAATTGCCTTTTTAAGTATATTTTAAAATTTGTAATTCTTTTTAACAGAATCCTATGTTCTTGAAAAGTGTATTACCCTCTGCAGCAATCGATCATGAGATGTTTCTTGTATTTATAGAGTCCTCTGATTGTGATATTGAAATGGCCACTAATTGTATAGACTATATGGGAACTTTATCTGTGTTTGGAGGACCCACTCCCATGGTTGACAGAGCAGCTGCTTGCAGGTTTGAAATTTATTAAAATATTGTAAATTATGATTGGCAGGATTGCGAACACAAGCCTGTATTGAGGCTTGCATTGCCAGAGTTGATTTTTCACAACTTAAGGAAAATTCATCTTAATCATTGGTGCAGAAGTAAATATAATATATCTACAGTGCATATACATGTAGAAAGGAAGTAACTAATTGAAACTTATTTACTAGTTATTGTGTCACTTGATTGTTTTTTAGAGACATTGCCATTGGACAAAAATGCGTTCTTCATTCCACCATGCAGTGTTCAGCAAAACTCCGTATGAAGTTCTTAAATACAGCAAAGACCCTCAACAATATTGTCCAATCACATGGCTTCTGTCTGGATGTTAAGGAGGTTGCTAAGGACTCCTTCAGGGCAGAGGTCATGAAGATGGAGTGTAATGAAGAAGAAGCTATGCAGTGTCTGGGCATGCTCAGTCTGTCTATTCAGCAGCAGCAGTACATGGATACCAGAAGTGCTGTTTGCTCGTAAGATTTCCTTGAACTTTTGTTATTGAACTGAAACTATGCACAGAAATCAAACAGTGAAAAGGGGGAATTTTCATTGGCAGTTAATATGACACCAATTTAAATTTCTTTAAGTTCACTGCATTTTATATAAATAGATGAAAACCTTTTAAGATGCAATTGTCATGTAATTTCATACAAAATTTCTAAATATTTCAACTAAACATTCCATTAATTAAGTCTTTTTTCAATTTCTTAATTTTAAAGACATCTACTCCCTGTTGAGGTCTGCATTGCTAAGAATACCCTGAAATGCATGCCTCCTGTTCGCAAGAGCATTGAAGCAACCTACATGGATCTGAAAACCATTGCTGAAAATCTCTGTAAGTCTCGGCCAAAGACAGAAGAGATGAGCGATGATCACTGCCTGTCAGACATGCCAATGAAACAGAGCACTATGTGCAGTATTCCAGAAGCCATGTATTGTATGAATTCTATACATACTAAGATACTCAGGATGGCTGAGCGCCAAGAGTCTGTCTGCAGGTACAGTATCTAAAAAACTTTCTGAGGTCTCTTGAAAATAGAATGAAAGTGTGTTCTGACATTATAAAAGATATGAAATTTTGTATAAGTGTAAACAATGATTTAAGGTATACGACCCATATTAGGACCAAAATTTCTAACCTTAAATATCAATTGTTTGTAAAATATCCTAATATTATTTTAAAGCATTGTAGAGTAGAAAGGGATTTACCAAGAGAAATTTTCAAAAATTTTATTGCCTAAGCAGAAATTAATTTTTGAAGATTGCATTGAAGTCTATGGAAAGAAGTAAATTTTTTTAAATAAGAAAATAAATACTTCAAATATCAAAAAATGCTGTGGTGAAAAGATGTATTTGATCATTCGGAAAAGAAAAAAAATTAGAAATAATTTTTTTACCAGACAAATTTTGAAAAAAAATTAATTTTATTGAATAAAATCAAAGGGGAATAACTCGTCAAGGGCAGGAAAAGGTCATAAATTAGGACATGTCCCACTCTTACATTCTGATACTAAAAGATGAAAAATAGTTCAAACTGCACTGAGTATTCAGCCCGTACATATCTATTATGCATTCAATTCATTGAATCTGGGGCTAATATGGATCGGATACCTTAAGCAGTCCTATGATTTTAGACAACCATATGAATAAAGTAAACTGTGACATGTATTTGTATTATAATAAGAGTTCATATTAAAAGTAATTATTTAAAATTTAAAGGAAAAAGATTATTTCTGTTTTGAAAGATGGGAAACCTGCTAAATTTTTTCACAAATGGTTATCAACACATAGGAATGCTGAAACATTTTCTAATTTTTAGATATGTCTGAAAAATGTTTTCATTTTAAAATAAAAGATAACTTGTGATTTGAAGAAGGATAATATTGTTTATCTCCAAAACATCTAAAGTTCTTTAAAGAGCTCCGCATTGTTTTTTTGGGTTGTTTTAGTGTGTTGCCTGAGTTGAGGTCATGTGTCTGGAATCATGTAGGAGGCTGTGAGAGATGCCAACAGGACAGCGTCTATAACACCATGCAGGACGTGTTCCGTCGACTCTCCAAGCTTTGTCCCCACGCCATGTGTAATCCTTGCGGAGCTCGCTGGTGTGCGGATCAACTCAACATGACCATGATGAAGGAACACGAGGGAATGGACAATCAGCGAAACATGACCATGATGATGAAAGACAAGCAGATGTCATGTGTGTAAGTAGGAATAACTTGATATATAACATAAATAGAGTATTTAAAACAAATACAAGTACAACAAAAATATCAAAACCATAAACATGTAATGCATGCTCTTGTGTTATATTGCCAATGGGATTTGAATTGAGAGAATGTTACAATGTATGGAAATTGTGATGAAAGTAGATCATGGTTTGAGAAGTCCATTTCATGGGTATGAATTAACATTCATGAAGTAGCAATATTTTACAGTGATGTCTGGAAGATGCGTCAGTGCATGGAGATGAACCTGGGGACCTGTAGTGTAGAGGAGGTCCATCATGTCAGGGAGACTCTGGAGAAGAGATTGGCTCCCATGATCCCTGCCACATGTCAGGCAAAACTCAAGTTCAGCGAATGTGCTCTCCACTTTGCTGTCATGGCTCAAAGGATCATTGGGGTATCGGAGGACATGATGCCAAAAGGTATGGACGCATTGAGAAAAAAATCACACTTTTTATTTGAGTTTAAAGGCTGAAAGATAATGTTGTTTTGAATTATAAAAAAATTTTGCTGTATGTTTTCATGATTGACATATAGAAATGATATATGCTGGATCGTGTGAAGATATTCAGTTCAAACATCAATTTTATTGTTTACAGCTGTGTTGGCAGAGGTGCAGAAAATCATGAATGAGTACATGAAGAACATGCCTAAACCTGCTACATACGAGGAACAACTGAGAGCTGTGCAGAGACTGATCAAGATTGTAGGCAGTATGGAGAAATCCAAGTCCTGTCCCCCCGAGTCCAATGGCTGGCCGTGGGGACTCCCAGAGGACCGCCCCACACAATGTAAGGAGGCCACATCAGCCTGGCATTGTATGGCAACACACATGCAGCAGCTGCCCAAAGACAAAGTTCCTATGGTCAACGCCTCACTGCAGCTTATTGGTCAACTCTTAAAGGATAAATGTGATGGTAGGTAAAATAATGCCTGGGAACTTGACAATGTAAACATTACTTTAAGTTCTTTGTATATCTAAGAAATTTAAGTTTGTAGAAGAGTTGAGGAACTTGATGATGTGGAAAACACTGAATGAAAGATTGTGTACTTGTTTCAAGATTTTCTTTGCCATTCATATTGATAACAAAACTGGTAAATGAGTTGCAGATAAAAGAGCTTTTTAAAAAATGTGTGTAGATTTTGTAGATTTTCTTCCGATTTTGTTATTGTGTTTTACTTCACAGAAAAGCCTTTGAGATGCTTCAGTTGTAAAAATGCTAAATCAAATGAGGAATGTAATGCACAGCCCATGGAAATGTGCAAGGGACATTATCAGGTAAATTTATAAAGAAAGAACATTATAAAATTACATGTAATACACAGTTCTACTCAATACATACGAAGCATGGCAAAAATATTCTTCTAAAATGTTACATGTATCCATTTATTATATTTACCTTGAAATTTTGGTTTCCTCTGCAGATGTGCTACACAGTAACAACACTTCCTAAAACAATGAATGATTCAGAAACAGATGGTAAGACGCAAGACGATGACACTAAAGACAGCAGAACCAAAAGGGATGCTCATGATAAGGAGGATATGAAGGAAATGAAGGGGTGGATCAGTAAAGGGTGTACAAGAAGATATCCACTTCTCCAACATGACACACAATGTATGGGTGAAGGGAAATGTGAATATGCCTGTTATAAATCGGACTGTAACTACATGTCTCACTCTGCCATCAGAGGTAAGCTCGATCATACCCCCAGAAAATGCTAAAATGAAAGCATAATTGTTGATGACGTATATGTGCAAAGTAAAATACATGTAACATGATTATTCTTGATAATTCTCATTTATTGGAGGGGAGGGAAAGGGGGCTTTTAACATATATTTGGCCATTTTCTTCATCAAGTTAAATAATGCTGGTTTAAAACAAAAATCCATTGTGTCTGTTTTTGTATGATGGATTTCACATTGTCCATCTATTAAAGATAAATAAATTTGAAATAGAGAATTCAGTTACTGAATTCTTTAAATCTGTACAGATGATATGTCTTGTGACCCTAAGATGGCAGCCATTTGTGGAATGCATCTAGTGAGTGATCTATTGTCACAGGAGGAAACAGATTGTGGGTGAGTCTATCTTAACTTTGTTAATCCAGATGCTCAGTTCTTCCACATAAAAATAATTTAATTATCTTGAATTTTTATGTTAGAGTATATACAATATATATACTTGTGTATGATTGCATCATTTCTTGTGTTCCAAAGTCAGATTAAGAGTCCAGTTTACTGAATTCAACATTTTATAAATAATTTTGTGATTTAATTGTTACAAGTAATTCTGCTCCCCACTAATTTTACTCACAGGATGACACATACAGGTTACTGATGCTTCACTAGTGTGAACTTGTGTGGGGGTATCTTCACAATCGAATTTAAATCAACATTTCTGTGTTACAGGAAGGTACAGGAGTACCTGAGGTGTATGTACCATCACACAGAGAAGTGTATGTCCAGCAGTGACCAGCACATGCACAAGCTGGCCGTACAGCTGGCCTCCACTGCGGGGCTGGTCCGGTGCTACGCTGAACCAGAGGCGTGTCGTTGTGGGCGTTGTACCGCACTGATATTCACCAATCTGGCTCAGAATCCTCTACTGTCCAGAGAACAAGTCTGCATGTAAGTCAATATTTCTTCATATTGCTCAGTATTTTATAACCTGTTCACATTAATGTGATTATTAAATTTTTCCTATGTAGTAAAAATTAAATAGCATTCAGTTTTACACTCACTTTCTTGGTGTCAGGGCTGCTGCTGAGGTTCAGTCTACCATCCTGAAAACTGTAATGACCCAAGAGTGTAAAATGGAGGACATGAAGAATTTATATGAAGCCACAGAAGTCGGCATGTCCATGCTGGGAGATATGTGTAATCCACCATTTATTGGAGGTAAAGGCAGTGTTTTAATTTTATTTTAGAAAAAAAGAATTTTGTATTTGAATTTTAAATAGTCTACACCATGCTATTCACACTAAAATTAGGTTTGGCATAATATTCGACTAGTTCTTGTTCAAAGATGAACTTAAAGCTGCAATATGATGTTTATAAAACCTCAAAATATCATTTTGATGCCAACTGAGTGAACTGTAAAAAGTGAGTGGAAATCAATGAGAAGTGAGTTTTGTTTTGTAATTCTCTACAGAGATGCTGGGTAAGCCTAAGTACAACATGACGTGTAGTAGAGAGGCTGCCGCTATGTGTCAGGAGGCTACGCCGTGGGAAGAATATGCCAAGAAAAATGACACCAGAGTCTGTGGGTAAGTTAAAAAACGAAGTTCATGAACATTTCTTAATACAGTAAAACTTCTTTAGTACGAACACAGATATTGTGAATTCACTGATACAGAAAAACTCGTTTAGTACGAACACAGATATAGCGAATTTACGGATATAGCGAAGTTTTTCTGGGTCCCCGGCAGAATTCTTATCAAATCTTTGTAAAATTTTACGGCGATAACGAACTCTGATATAACAAATTTACGGATATAGCGAACTGATTTTGAGTCCCGTTGAGGCTAAATTTAATGAAATTTACATCTTTTATAGCGAACTTTCAAAGATCTCAAAATTTGTTAAATTGAACAAACTTAATTTTTTCTAGTAGCATTTGTACATGTATATAAAATTTGATTCATAATAAAACCTTAGTTATCGAACATTTGATTTGTCATTTCCTTCACTTACATATTTGGTAGTAATACTTGAGAGAAAACATTCAATGACATATTGCGAATTCGCTATACATGTATATGGTTATACGAATTCATTATACGGATATAACAAATTACGGATATAGCGAAGTAAATTTTCAGGTCCCCTGGACTTCGCTATAACCGAGTTTTACTGTATAGTGAAGTGATCATGGATCCTCAGCTATGATTGTAAATTTAACAAAGTCCTTGTACTGATATTTAACGCATTACAGATATAGCGAAGTAGTTTCACAGGCCCCAGTGATGTTGTTGTAACCAAGTTTCACTGTACATCTGTACTTCATATAAATATCCATGTTTACAGTCCCTAACAGTTAAGAAGAAAAAGTTAATATTTGTTAAGGAAACATACAATATGGAATCTTTGTAGGATGGTGAGGAGGATGTTTTACTGCTCTCACCTCCACACAGAGAAGTGTGTGTTGACCCAGACAGAACTGACCGTGGCTATGGCCGCTATGTCCTCCATGATCGACTCCCTGAAGCACCTGTGTGACTTCTCTACCTTTGAGAGGGCTGTCAGGGAAGTCCAGAGCACGGCCCAACCCAGTGCTGAACAGATCAGAGCAGTGTTAATGCAGGCATTTAAAGAGGACTCGCTCAAAGGAAGAGGTCAGTTAAGTTCTGGAATTATCAGTTAGCATGAATGTGATAAGTTTTTCTTGCCATAGAACTGGGTATATAAATATAAAAGTAATCTATAGAGCATTACTTTCTATATATGAAAGAAAAATCTTATTATTAATAACTAAAGCCTTAAAATATTTGTGCTATTCTTAGTCCTTCTCAAGACTATTTTCTTTAATTATAAAACATTATATATGTCACAATTTATTCATGTTGTACAAAGACCATCTTTTTAATATTTTTCATTTTCATTTTTGGACTGAAGTTTTAAAAAAGAAGCATATTTTATTAAGTTTCAAACCAATACAAATCCTAAGAATAATGATAATTTTCTGACTCTATTTTGTAGAGGTACTTGACAACATGAAGGCATTACAGAAGACTGTTAATGTTATGGAGAGGCAGCACATCTGTAAGCCTTCAGTGGCTCTGCACAACTGCTTCTTCTACATGGAGAACATATCCCCATCGGAATTCTGTGGGTAAGAGCTTCATGTAAACTTCAATGTTTGAAAACCCTTTTAAATAACTTTGATTTGTGTGAGGATCTTGGTGCTTACCTGGGATTTCTACAAAAAAATTACTTTTTTATTCTGATCTTTTTTGTATATTACAGGGCAGCAAACAAGACACATGCTTGCATTGAGATGCTGACCCAGGACTGCAACCCCATACAGAAGGCACCTGTCAGCTACGTCTTGAACAGTATTCTGTCTCAGAACCCCAGGCAGTGTGAAATCTCCAACTCGCCAGCCCCAGAAGCCACCAAAAGTCCGTATTATCAGCTGGCTGCTTGTGCCGCCCAGTACACAATGAAGGTACAGAAAGCCTATGCTACATCAGTGGCTCAGTCTTCCATTGTTGAGATGTGTGAGGCCTCCATTATGCTGGACAGATGTGTGTACCATGTGGAGGTCAGCTCTGCAGCCAAGGTCATGGTGGGCAGCATGGCCATGATGACCAAAGAGCTGGTGGATTTAACCTGTAATGCAGTACCTATGAGTAAGTGATTTGAACTTGATGAAAATTTGAAGTTTCTGTCTTGCTTTCTTTTCATGGATGTGAAAAAATATTTGTTGTTTTTAGAATTAAGACCATGCATCTGTGTTTGTCAGTGAATTTCAAGGCATGGTATATATATTGGCCTTATTGGGAACATGTTTGAATGCAAAATGAAATTTTTTAAGTATACATGTTATTCAAAAAGGTATGGGTCATGTAAAAGAATAAAACTACTCAGACAGTTCTAAACATTACCCCTTAAAGATCCCTTAAAGAGGTAAATCTGCATAATATTTTAGTTAAACATCATTTGATGTTGTAGATTGGACAGGAGTGGCTTGTAAGAAGGATGATGTGGTTTGTATGGTAATGAAGAACATGTCCAAACCAGAGGACAAACAGGACCCACCTCCACAAGGTTTTTTTTTTTCATTAAACTAAAATTGTGCTCTTTTATTTGAGCTCAAAACCTTCTTCTTTAAATGTTGATAGAAAATTTTCAAATTAGAAGGAAGTGTAAAGTTAATTTGCAAACTAAGGTCTATTTATTTAAGCTTCTGACAAATCGACCTCTACTTTGTTGTCCATTTGCTTGTCTTTTATAAGGTCTGATTTGATCATCCAATTTTCGTTATGTTCATCCCTTATGTGTCTATGACTTGTTATAGAGCCCAGTAGCTGTGAGGCAGTATATGCAGCTGGTTGTCTGGGTAACTATCTGATGAGGGTTCTTACATCAGGTTTTGTCCCTGTCACTGAACAAGCTGATGTCTGCTGGTGAGTCAATTAGGTGTCAGGTCCTGATAGAACAGAATCTCTTAATTCTATGTAGAACATAACAGCTGAATTATATTATAATAGGTCTACAATGATTTGCTAGTATAAAATTTCTGTAAATTATTTGTATATGTTGAGGTTTACTATCCAAATTTAGGTAGAGTAGGCATTATAGGTTACGTTGCATCACTGAATATTTTGAATGATATTTTCTTTGATTACTGAGGTTGTGAGTAATCCTCTACACACACTTGTGGGTTTCTTCATACCAAAAAAATTGAGACTAATTCTAAAGCAATACACTGTAGTATTATGATAAGATTAATTTCACAACACACTTGTTTAAATACTTACAGGGAGAGAATGTACATGGAACAGTGTGTTGTCTCCAAGACTTCCAGCTGTACCTTTAACAGGAAGCAGGAGTTCCTGAATGCTGTAGAATGGTTCAAGAACATCACCAACCCTGGCTGTTCTGTCGTGACTTCATTTGAAACCGCCAACTGCTCCATGGCCCAGGAGTGTGTGGCCATGGGTCTGTATTATCTGACAGAAAAAGAATCTTATGAGGACCTGGATGGATTTTGCTGGTAAGCCACTTTTTGGTAAACTGATAGCATAAGTTGATGGACATTGGGGAAAAAGCATTTTGGTTTGCAATTCTTTGGTTCTGTATTGTCGTAATTAGGTCAGTTTGCAAACAATAAAAGTGTATGCATTTCTGAAAATATAAATTCCATAAGAAGTAAAAGATATGGTTTCTTCATTCTCCATTTGGAAGACAGATGTGCTTGCAGACAATATCATCATGTAATGTTTATTCATATACAGCACATAAACATGTTACTTACCATTTTGAAATTACTTTACAGGGGGGCATCTAAGATTGCCAAGTGTATTGAGCACCATGCAACTAACTGCTCTCGAATGGACATAGTGAACATTACAGAGGGGGTAGAAATAATGGGCAATGTGACCCACTTTTACTGCCCTCATCTGGATGCTCAAATATGCCCCCTGACTAAGATGGAAGGAAGCACCCCAGGAGCTGTGTGTCAAGTGAACAATATGAGGATGTGTATAAACAGATTTTATGAGCAGACACATGAAGATCTTAAACTGAGTGATCAGCAGTATTGCTCGTAAGTACTGTAGCTCAGAAAAATTTTCTGGCACCTCATTATCAAGTGATAGCAATTTTTTCTATCGAGAACATATAATTTTCAAAAATTCTGGTTATTTTAAAATGTATATAAGCTTGATAAAAATATATGAGAATAATAAAAGTTTTGCAGGCAAATGAGCTCACACAATTACACAGAAATAAAGTTCATGAGAATAATCAGTGATTAAATTTTATTGTATTTTCAGTCACCTCCTAAAATTTTTTACTCTTTTTAAGGATGAATTTACAAAAGAAATGCTTGATTGTGGCAATAAGCAAGTTAACAAGCACAATAATGTCTTGTACTTATAATAAAATTGTCTTTCAGAATCCTGTCTCAGACCACAGATTGTGTGATGAGGAACTCCACTAACTGTCATTCAGCGACTGTGAACGAGATGAAGGAACTCATGATTCCTGGTATCCTGAAGGCTAATGTCAACTGTTCTGTCCTCACCCAGACTTATCTGTCCTACACCTCCTGTCCGATAGTAGGAAACTGCTCCATTGCCTTTGCCATGGGGAAAATTACTGAGGCTGTCACCCAGTCTCAGGTTCCAGGGGCTGTTCAGTGCAGGTAATAAAGGGTGAAGTGATTGTTACTAGGTACATAATACATGAATAAACTGCTTTTGTTTTTTAGGTCACCTGGGTAAACTCAGGTGACCTATTGCAATCTGTTTTCGTGCGTCGTCATGCGTCGTGTGTTAACATTTGAACATTTTCAGCTTCTCCTCTGCAACCACTGAACCAATTTCAACCAAATTTGGCACAAAGCATTTATGGGTGAAGGGGAACAAAAATTGTGAATTTCATGATCCTTGCCCCCCTGGGGCCTGGGGGGTGGGGCCAAAACCACTAAAATTAATGCAATCTTTAAAAATCTTCTTCTTTACTCCTGGACATCAAGCAGTCAAACTGTTTGCATGTTTGTAATCAGCATTGAGTCCTCTACCAAAATTGTGAAATTCATGGCCCTGGGGTCAGGGGTACTTGTGCTAGGGTGGGGCTAAATAAGTATATAGTGAAAATGCATTATTTCTTTGAAAATCTTCTTCTCTGCTCCTGGGTATTAAATAAACTAATTAAGTACATAGTTATGATGAGCAAGAGTGCCTCTACCAAAATTGTGAATTTTATGGCCCCAGGGTCAGGGGTTCTGGTGTTAGGGCGGGGCTCTATTGATTATATAGAGAAAATACATGAATTCTTTGAAAATCTTCTTCTTTGCTCCTGGGTATTAAATAAACTAACTAAGTACATAGTTATGATGAGCAAGAGTGCCTCTACCTAATTGTGAATTTTTTGGCCCCAGGGTCAGGGGTTCTGGTGTTGGGGGGGTGCTATATTGATTATAAATGTATAGTGAAAAAAAACATTAAATCTTTGAATATTTTCTTCTTTGTATCTAGGTTTTAAGCAGATGAACTACTTATATAGTTATGAGCAAGGGCCTTTATCTTCAAGAATTGTAAATTTCAAGGCCCCACGGTCAGTTGTACATAGAGGGGGGTGGGGGGGGGGGGCTGTACTTATATACTGAAAATGAATGAATTGTTTGAAATGTGCTCCTTTGTATTAATCAAATATTTTTGAAAAGCATGAATGCCTTTCCAAAAATTGTACAATGTGTGGATCTAGGCCTAAGAGTCCAGGGTACATGTGTGGTAGCGGTACTACTCATTATTGCTGAATATTACTGATTTGTTGAAATGCATTTTTTGTTCCCCTACCCTGCCTATGGGTATTAAGTAACCAAACTAAGGAACTGCTAAGTGTATAGTTATGATGACCAAATTGTAAATGCTATAGCATCTGGCTTAAAACATGGATCAAATTCAATCACTGGAAAGTTGTTGAATAATGCTCAGGTGACCTATAAGGCCCATGGGCCTCTTGTTATTTTAAAGCTTGGATGAAAATTTCTTTACAAGTTCTATCAAGTAACTTTTAAGAACGTGAAGTTTAAATCATGCAGCCTTCCTACTCCTTAGGTCTTTTGTTATGAATGATTGAAATGTTGTACAGAACTGGACTGCCAGGGATAAATAATATGTATTTTACTTTTAAACATTTTTGTAGCTTGTTCTTTAACCTGCAAAGTGAGTTGTCAGGACAGACATGTTTCCCAGTGGAGACCTCCATTATTAACAAGGCACTCCTCCAGTTCGCGGATTATCAAACTGAAGTACACAATTGTCCAAAACAATTCACCGGAATCAGGCAGGCTCCAGGGGTAGTCTTTGATAACGCTGAACTCGCCAAATGTGCAGATGAGATGGGAGGGAATCTAGGAAATGCTCTAACTAATCCACGGTTTGGAGTTTGGGACATCTGCGACTCGGCCCAGAAGTACCATGGATGTCTGAAGACCCTGTTCAGTACGGCCAAGAGCACCAGGGAGAAGTTCATCATGATGACAATGAAGAAATCATACATGGATATCGAGAGTTTTGTCAACGGAACATGTGCCAAATTGAGTAAGTTTTATTTAATAGCTGCTTTAATTGATCTTTACAAAAAAGTCATTTTTTGGCATTGCTGTGAAGGCAGAGAAAAGACCTTGTAATCTTAAGTGTATTATATATTTTCTATTTTTGCAGATATGACCAAACTTCAGCCTGTGTCACCAGCTGCTGGTTAGTTAATTTACATTATTTTTTTATCTGTTTTAGTAAACTTGAAATGAAATATAAGTTTTGTAGTAACAAGTATATGTTCATATAAGGAAAGGTAAAATTCCATGATATGCAAACAAAAATTTTTTTTATTTTCCAGAACCAAGAACCTGTGCTAAAAGCCTTGCTGTTGGATGTGTCTTGTCGTTCTCCCAGCAGGCCATGCTCATGGGTCAGCTAAGACCAGGAGACATGGAGCAGTTGTGCAGGTTTGTTGACTAATTCATTTATTGTAAGGAAAAGATCAAATTTAAACTGGAAATTTGATAAATGTCCAAATGAAGTGTTAAACTTAGGAACTTTTTTCTGGTTGGCTGAACATAAGTCTGTAACAGCTGTGTGAAAGTGATAAGAGGGTATCACTCCCATATTGCAAAGCATACAAAAACCAGACAATTTCTTTGTCCTGCTTGGATGTCCAAAAGAAAAAGGATTATGAGAATTCGCAGAAAATGAAAAAGATGTACATGTTCTTCCATTGTTCTGTAGGTCCAGGATTGATTATTACTATTGTATGATGAATGCCACAGCCGGATGTTCATACGGATTCAGCACCCAACTCCAGACCATGATGACACTGGCTGACTCCATTCTGATGGGATCCGGTCAGTGTCCCGAGGATGTGATGAAGCAGGCCAAACGTATGGAGGAGGAGGCATACATGGAAATGGTCTACGGACCTGCCAGGAACGACATCGCCATCAAACTTATCTCAGGAATGATGATGGAGAGAATGGAAAAGAAAGATGACGAGGATGAGAGAGAGATGGGAGATGAGGATATGAAGGAAGGAATGGAGGAGGATGACAAGAAGGAAGGAATGGATGAAGATGAAACAAAGAAGGAAGGAATGGATAAGGAGGATATGATGAATGAGGGAAAAGATGACAAGATGGAAGACAAGGATGAAATGGACAAAGAGAAGTAATGAAAAAAATCCCCGAAAATATAAAATAGTCAAATTAAATAGAAAAATTGCAAGTATAATTATGTATATTGCATTGTATGATACAGATTAATGACCTATTAATCTGTACAGTATAATTTCAAAAAGGAAAAAAATATAAATGCAATTGTTTCATATAAATTGAAGTTTCAGGTTTAAGAGAAGTTATTGGTATTCATTTTCTCTTGAATGATAATTAAATTATTATTTTATGTAGAATGGGAGATGAATCAGATATGAAGACTATGGATAAAATGAGGAAAGGTTGTGACACTAGAATGGCATCCAGATGTATGATGTATTTCTCCAATATGGTTATAAAGGTCAATGATTCAAATGTCATAGAACATTGCAGGTAAGTACATATATTCATTCAATCTTATGTTTTAGCTTGTTCAATTCAATTTTTGTGATTATTTAGTACTTTTACAATAAAAGCTCCTCAGAATAAGACACTGTTAGATAAGACAATATAAATTTACCTAACTTTACATGTACATTTACAGGGAACTGGAAAAGGCCTTGCCATGTGTGTGGAACAATGTCAAGGACTGTGATGAGGTCACACAATACTTTGCAGTTCACACAATCAAACAGGTGACTCGTTATGGAATGGGCATTTGTAAAGGTGTCATCAAAATGATGATGTCAGGAAACATGTCAAGGTCAGAGAGAGAAGAAATGGGAAAAATGATGATGTCACAGAACATGTCGGAATCCATGAGAAGAGAGATGAGGGGAATGATGGGTATGTCAGAGTCAGAAGACTCCATGATGAACGGAATGGAGGAAGAGGAGGAAGGAATGGATGGAGAGATGGAGGAGGATGAAATGGATAGAGAGATGGATGGGAAAAAGATGAGGGCCAGACTGGAGGAGATGTTCAGTAACACAGATCCTGTGTCTAAGGTTAGAGAGATGGTGATGTCCTTTATGAAAGAAGGAGGGGAGATGGGGGATAACTTGCAGGGGATAATGAAGCTCCTTAGTGTGGCCCCTGAGGACGGAATGTGTGTGGACCCCGCCAAGTACAAAGAGTTTGGTCGGTGTGACCCCGCCGTGGCTATGGAGTGTATACTGGGTGTAGAGAGGGAACTTCTCAACCCCATGTCAACCAGATCCAGACTGTGTCTGTAAGTAAAAAATGAAATGTTTGTTCTACTGATTTATAGTGATTTTTCTTTCCTCATAAGTAAAAAAAAATAAAAAATACTTGTCTTTTTATCAAGCTATGATCATTTCAATCTCATTACCAGATTTTAAACACATTGAAAGTCCTTTTTCTTTAAATTGAAAAAAAAATAAAGTAAATTAATAAAATTAGCAAATTTTTGTGAATTGAAGGTTTTTTTTTTTTTACTATTTATTCTTTTCCTGACAAAAGTATGAGTTGGTTGGTAGAAGCCAAGATTTGTTACCCTGTTTAGGGGTAACCTTTTTCAGATCAATTAAAAAACCTGTTTGATGTTAATGAACAATATGAATTTTGCAGGAAACAGAACATAGCCCTGCGTTGCTATGCCGCTATGTCAGTGGGATGTGATCACGTGACAAGCACCATGCTGGGTGTATCAGCATCACTCATGATATACAAGACAGGAGACATGTGTGATACGAAGTACGCCTCACCATGTCATCGGGAGGAAGATAAGAGCTGCGAGATGGAGGATGCTGAGGAATGCCTGGAAGATCTTCATGAAGTGGTGCTGGCCGCTAAAGACTTCCTACCAGGATCTGCCACACAAATGTGCATGTAGGTTTTACAGGTTTTAAATTGTGCATATTTGTATTAAATCTTTTAGACGAGAGGTAGTGTAAGACAGGCAAAATGGCAGATGAACAAAATTATTTAATACTATAGAAGCTGAACTATATGATTAATATAAAAAGATTTTTCATAGTCTGCAATATTTTACTTCCTTTGCTGTATATCTTAATCCCCTTTATTAGCCTTTGACTGCATATTTCAAAGTATTTCACTGAACTGATCCCCTGTTTGAATTTAATTTCCACTGTTACAGTTGGATAAAATTATCTAATTTGTGCAATGGTATACCCATCAGGAAAAACAACATCTACAGCACAGGTCAAATGCTTTAGAAACTCAAATAAACATATAAACAATAAAATCTACAATGAATTTTAATTTTGCAATTAGGTGTTACAGTGAAGTATACATGTACCTAAAAATTAATGCTAATATTAAGGAAATGCAAATTTAGATGAATATGGCCAATTACAAGTCATGTTTAGCTTTAAGTAAAATGAGTATCGGTAGAAATCTTGCCCAACATCATGACAAAATAGGCAAAATTGTTTATTTAATCTTGAATTTCCATTGGCTTAGGGAAATTGCTTTTTATGCCCCCCTTCGAAGAAGGGAAGGCATATTGCTTTGCTGCTGTCTGTCGGTCCGTTGGTCTGTCGGTCCACTTATTTTCCGTTCATTTTCTTCGCAACCGTTGCACGTACTGAAATGAAATTTGGTATACAGATATATCACATGAATATCTAGGTCAAGTTCTGTTTCGGGTACGCTCGTGCCATTTTTGACAGAGTTATGCCCCTTGGACTTAAAAAAATTCCAATTATTTGCAGTTTCCGTTCATTTTCTTTACAACCGTTGTACATACTTAGATGAAATTTAGTATACAGATATATCACATTAATATCTAGGTCTGGTTTGGGTACGTTCGTGCCATTTTTGACAGAGTTATGCCCCTTGGACTTAGAAAAATTCCAATTATTTGCAGTTTCCGTTCATTTTCTTCACAACCGTTGCACATGCTGAGATGAAATTTAGTATACAGATTTATCGGATGAATATCTAGGTCAAGTTCTGTTTTGGGTACAATCGTTTTGCCCCTTGGACTTGGAAAAATTCCAATTTGGGGGGAGGGGGGCATAAGTGTTTTACAAACATCTCTTGTTTAAATTTGATTTCATTCCATGTTTAACTGTTTCAGGGTTGCTACAAAGACAAAGAAGTGTTTGATGGAAAAACTCTCTCACTGTGACACCAAAACTAGCCATGGATTCCATGACACATTAAGCCCTGCTATACAGTCCCTCGACTACATCTGTCAAACCATGCCCGCCCTGGGCTGTGTCACTTCCTTCCTCTGGAAGTCTGCCTCTTCTGTTCTCCTCACTGCAGATTTAGCCAAGGTAGGCTCAGCGGTTCAAACCATGAAGTTCTTCCGAGATCAGAACATGAGCATACCTGACGCACAACAGGAGAAGATGTGGAGAGAGATGGGAGATAAACTGAATGGATCAAGAAGTGAGGCCATGACCATGTTTGCTGGATGGCTGGGAAGACTGACTGGGAAAGCTCCAGAGTGTATGAAGAAAGATGATTACATGCATGGAATGGAAGGTGTACTGACAAGTGTATCTGGACTGATCAAACTGACCATGATGGAAAGTGGGCTGGTTCATCCAGAGATGGACTTTGTTGAACAGGTAGAAATGATGATCAGTATGGATGATAAGGATAGTGTGTTGTCTATGGCCATTGGTGCTATAAATAAAACACTGGTGGAACACAACATGCGGCTGAACCACTCGTACCTGATAAGAACCGCTGTCAAAGAAATCGTACAGATGGGGGATAGTACCAAGATGCTGCAGTTCTTTTATGCCAAGATGGCTAAGGGCATGATCATGAAGACCATGGAGAGGATGGGTATGAAGATGAAGGAGGATGAAGATGCAGAGGAAGAAATGGAGGAGGAGATGCAGAAGTGGATGGTTGATGAGCTAGCAGACAAAGTCCGCGAGATGATGCCCGATATGACGAAAATGATGACCTCACCTGACTACCCTATTGAATACCTGTCAAAATCAATGGAGGTTATGAAGATGAAGAAATGGTCTTCTTGCTCTGAGCTTGCTGAGGCAGCAAGGTGTATGGAGATGTATACTCATCTGATCCCAGCTGAGTCTCGAGCCACTTTGAATGTCACCATGCATGCACTATTTACAGTTGCAGGAGCAGTTTGTGAACGTAAGAATCTGTCTAATCATATTGCTTAATGATTTCTTGAAATTGTTTCTGCTTAGTATTTCTTTTGATATTGTTTTAATTAAATCAAAAGTAAGTAAATCTGAATGAAAAAAAAAACAATAAAACTATGTCTTAGCTATTTTTTTTAATTCATTGTGCTGAATCTTTTTGCAGCTACCAAGTGCTTCCAGTGCAATGGAATGACAAATAATGAGCAATGTAACCTACAAGGGGTCATGACCTGTGAGCCAGGTCAAGGTTGTACAACCACAGTTGCTGATGGAAAGATCTACAAGGGTTGTTCTTATCCTGTCGATGAATATAAAGATGACAGAATGCACTTTATGACTTGCATGGAAAGCTGGTGTAACAAACCACTGATGACTACACACAAAGGTAGATTCAGCACAGAAGTTATATAATTACATGTATAACCTCCTCTATTATTGTCTTCACTTGTTCAATTTTAATTAGAAGAGATTTTTTTGGGGTAGTATTTTATGTAAATTCTTTATTTTAACCTATGATCATTTTATTTGTAAGAAAAAGACCCAATGTGTCAGCCATACATGGCTATACAATGTGGAATGGACCTTGTGCCAAGCCTTATCCTCAACAGAACACCCAACATGAGGTAAATCTATGTGCTTTTTTTTTAGAAAATAGAGTAAACCATGTTATACAGGAATTCTCTATGTTCATTAAGCTTCCAATATATTTTAGAAACTACAAGGAATAAAAATTGCTTTTCTGTTATTGGGTTCTTCATGACTGTATATTACTGAACATGCATATTTTGGAAATAACTTGGAGTAATTGTAATGTCAGTACAAGGACAGCTGAAGTCAGGACACATTTCTAATGACATTTTATCTGTTTTGTCAGGGATGTATACAAGGCCTCGTGGTGTATGGACTACCACACCTCTCGCTGTGCTCATCGCAGCCACCAGGCTGCCAGTCAGCTAGGATTCATGATCAAGCGTACAGCTCTAGAGGGCGCTTGTTCTGGTGACCCGAGTCAGTACGAGTGTGGACTTCGCAGTGTTATAGGACTGGCTACAGCCATCAACAAACCTGCCATTTCCAGGGCAGCTATCTGCTAGTGAGTGATTGCACCTATGAAGCCAGCAAAAATATTTCTGTACACGTAAATGCACTTTGAAAGCTCAGAGTACTAAAATGGCTCCCTTCTTTTTATTTTTAGAAAATCATGCTTTTTGTTTCATTCAATTAATAGGAAGATATTTTTACATAGATTAAATGTGTTTCTCTTTTATCATATTAATTAAGGTATCAATTTATTAAATGATGTCCTCAATCAAGTCCTGTGGATGTTTTCTATTTACAGTGAATTGAATAACACTTTGACCATGATCAGGACTGCCCAGGCTCACAACAAATGCTCCGAGTACGATTCTATAGCTGTGTACGACGGACTCAAAACCATCATGCAGATTCTGGGTCATGACTACTGTCCTGGAATGATGGCTCGAGATAACGCGACCTGTGAGATGATGTCTCGAATGATGTTAGGCGACAACAAAGACTCCAAGTGTGAAGTGGAGGAGCTTTCCCAGTGTGTGGAGGAACACAAGCTGCTACACAGTCTGGTCATGATGTCTGACATGGAGAAGATGGAGGCCACAAAGAAAGCCCGGCCAAGGGATTATGATCAAGTCTGCATGTATGTTTTGTGTGGAATTATATCTTTTCAGAATTCTCTCATTAACTATTACTTAAATGTCAGACTTTAAATAATAACTCAGATGAAATATTTCAAATAATTATTTTATATACACTTTTGTAGTATTTGCTAGAGACTTGGTATTTGTAAATAAAAAATTGTAGTTATATAAAGGTAATTTCCTTTTTTCAGGGAGCTATTTTTAGCATCACGCTGTATGAGTTCCAAGGTCAGTGGATGCAGTCAGACTATTCAACATCAAGTAATGAGAAATATGACAAACAAGATGGGATTTTTCATCAGACACTGCCCTATCTCTAACATGATGCATGAGATGTGTAGTCCTCTGCCCATGCCTGAGCCTGTCTGTGATATTCCTTATGCTAAAGCAGCTTGCTTTGGCAGGTTTATCTCAGAAAGTGAAATGTGCAGGTAAGTGATGTTTAAGTTCCACACTTTTTGTAATAATCAATGCTATAAAGTCTATTGACGATAATATAGTAAATTAAGAGACACTATTTTTACTGCATTAGCAATTGAATTATATATCCATTTCACTGGTGTCAAGGTAAAAAAGTCAATTATTTTTGCTTTTTTTTTCAAAAGTGCAAACAGGTCAGACCTTATGACCACTTTGGGTTGCATTGCTAACCACACCTCAGGATGTGCAGTAGCCCAGGGTGTACCTGTGTTTAAAATGGTATTTGATGTCATGGCCAGTGTGACCATGAGATGTGGTGCACTCAGCAGAGTTTTCCAGAATAACCAGGTAAAGCATAACATTTTATTCCTTAGCTTGAACCATCTTCAACATTTTTCATAAAATGAGACATAGTACATGAATATTTACAAAAAAAATAGTATTCTGCCAGAAATCTGAATACAGGTTCTTTCATTATATGGATGTCACACTTTGAATGATTTAAATGTAATGAAATGACATTGAGATTACATGTATAACTATTCCATTGAAAGATGTGACAGATTTCTAAAAATTTTTAAAATGGTTTTCAATACTTGATAGATTAAAAAAAACAAGCTTTTCGTTTGTAGAACATGTACAAGATGACAGAGGAAATGGTTGCAAAGATGATACTGGAGTACAACATAATGCAGAAGATGGACAATGAGAGAGACAACAAACCAATGTCAGGCATTCTCAACTCCATGTTGATGGCCAAGTACGCACAGAAGACCCAGAACATGACAGCAGAAGTTGTGTTTGCTAGCTTGTCACCTGTACTACGTAATGTAACAACAGAAATGGAAAATGCTGTACAGTAAGTCTATCACAAAGTAGAATAGAATTTATGACAGTTTTTATACAAGAGATTTCTTTGATAAATTGATTACAATAATTAATTAACTCAAATTTTACAATTATGATGCTAATGTTCATTATTGTAGACTTGCCTTATTTGGAGATGAGACAATGGGTGTCGCAGTCTGTAACCTTGACTACATAGCCAGCTTCAAGAGAGCCCTGATGTACCCCGACTGGTTCGGCCCTGTCTTCTGTGAAGCTCTTGCCGAGCTGACGTCTTGTCTGAGCCGACAGAATCTCTCACCGGTGGCCCAGAGCAGCGTCATGTCCATGATGAATGAGATGGCAGGTTACACAACAGAGGCCTGTAAGGGGTATCCCGAGCAGGTGATGTGGAAGGGCTGGATGTTGTATAACCTGACCCAGGGAATGTCTAAGATGACACTGCCTGTCCTGGCTAATGGCACTCGACTTGAGGAGCTGTCCAAACACATGGCTAATGGCACTCAGGACAAAATGAACTTGACTGCTAGGGAAGTGGCCAGCATGCTTGATGCCAGCATAGGATCTGTGGTTGACCATATGCTTCAAGGTAATGGTCAGGAGATATTTTCTTGTAATCTTTTTAATACGTGTATTAAAAATTATTGATTATTGAAGGGAAACCATAGAGAGGAATTTAATCTAGTTTCAGAAAATTTGTATTAAACAATTGAATGTTAGTTGAAAAAAAATTATGCTTTCCTACTTGACCAATGCAACATATTTCCTCCTTTGGTCTTGTCCACCAAGGACAGGTATGAGGGTTTAATAACTAGAATAAAAAGTTCACTCTAATCATGTATTCTGTAGTAAATGATACCTGTGATGTGTACAAGATTTCCACAATCATCTCTGGATTCTCAGCACAACTGATTGGACCTTTTGTACCTAAATCACAGCATCCAGTTTTGTGCGAGTAAGTTTCAGAAAATGATAAAGTATTTTATTATTAATTCTTTTAATTAAATGAATCTGAAGAGCCTCATATTTTTTTTTTACATGTGTACTGTACATATAAATATCTGGAATGGAATACTGTGGAAAATGCTATGAGTTACATTAAATGCACATGATTTATGAGCCACGTTTAATTCAAAATGTGTGTTTTTGTACAGATGTAGGGGCATCAGAGTGAAATAAAAGTTTAATTCTCATCATGAAGATGCATGTATTCAGATTTTGCTCTTAGTCAATTGTAAATTCAATGATTTAGAAGGCAAGTTCAGAGAAATAAATCTTATTTTCCAGTATGTTGAACAACTCTGTGATACCAGAATTACGCCCTCTGATAGCTAAGTGTTCACCAGCTCACCAGTTGTTGTACATGGCTGTAATGGGTACTATGGTTAATCAGACGAAGCCAATCTGTGATCAGCCTGCCAATAACAGAGTGGCACCTCCACCTCTCTGTAAAGTGGACGAAGCTTACGGATGTTACATGGCTGTCTTCCCTTATCTCAGCAGCAATGCCGCTCCTCAGGAAAAACTCTGCAGGTAGGATTTTTTGCCTTTGGTTTTGATTTTAATTCAGTGTGTCCCCAGTGATTTGAATGAATGGTTTACACTAATGTAATAAAGTTTTGTAAAAAAATACATAGCTTATAAACATTTGACTTTATATTGTAGAGCATACCACTATGCTGTAGCCTGTATAGAGAAGCACACTGTATCCTGCTCAGCAGATCAGAAGATGGGACTGTCCTACATACAGGATTATGTACAGAGTGTCATCGGGGACACCTGTCCATTTGTCCAGGCCCTCAGACAGTGTTACAGCACCACCAGTACTAACTACATCTGTAACGTCAAGAAGGCCAAGGAGTGCATCTCTGTACTCGGAGACTACAGCAAAGGAGTCACCAAAGATACCTGCAGGTAATTATAAGCTGATAAAAAAAGAATTCAAAGGATATTCTGATGGAGATCATGAATACATTGTAAGTGTGGTTATTTGCCAAAGCATGAATCTTGGTAGAGATACTTTAATACATGAGGGAAAATTTTGCAGTAGAAGAAGAAAGTGTTAATAAATATTTTGATTGTTTGTATTTTTCAGTAAACTCCCCCAGATGTTGCAGTGCTACACTACCCAGACTGCTGGGTGCTCCGGCTCAGACGTGTATGATGTGTCTTCCTACTTAGAAGTTTTGATGCCAGCATACAAGGTTCTGCCGTACTGTTATAGTCAGGACGTGTCAGCCACATTGTATCGCAGCTGTCAGCCCCCACCCACATGCTCCCTACAGGAGGCTGGAAATTGTTACACTCCCCTGATGACCAAGTCATCTTGCACGTATGTAGACTCAGTATATTTTTATCTTTTAATTAGTGTTAAGGCATGCTTTATGACTTGTATGGATTTTTTTCTGATTTAAGTGTGTTACTTACATGACTGTATTTAATATGTTTTAAGAAATATTGTTTGTTTCCAGTAGCTTCATTCACAGCCTTTTTGCTATATTTGCAGTGAACAAGAAGCCTTTTCAGTAAAGAACTGTGCGGCACGTCATCTGCGAGGCTGTAACCTGATTCAGCTTCAGGTCTTTGACTCCCAGCTGTGGTTCGGCAGACAGAACGTGGGGACCTGTAACGCCTTCACATTAGACAGCTCCCTCATCCCATCAACCCTAACAGCCGAGGCACAGGGTCTTAACCAGTGTGGAAACATGTTCCTTGGAAACATGACTGCAGCTCTCCAGACCAGCACCAGTTCTGTAGAGAGGATCTGTAGAAGCTTACAGATGATGTATGAATGCCTGATGTATAATCAGACAGAGGACGCCCGGAAGTTCCTGACCGCCATGTACGGAAATTCCTTCGGCATCACTGCAGAGCTGACAGGGCAGATCTGTGAACAAGTTAATACTGCAGAAACACCCATGGAAACCAAAACAAGTAAGATTAGAAGAAAATTAAAGACAATACAGTTTTCCTTGATAGAAATCATGGGTTTCTGCATCAGTTTACTTACACTCAATCATAATTGCTTATTGACCAATATGTTTTTAGAATTCATATTGTGAGTGTTGAAAAATATTATTTCACTGTAAAAAAAATTTATAGATGCTATGTTATCAATAGGTGACCAGTCCTCTACGTCATGTGACACTACAATGGCAGCTCAGTGTTTGGCTGCCTATACTTTCCCTGTTGTGTTCTCAGCCAATCTAAACCGAGGAGACAAGAAGGCATTCTGTAGGTCAGTAGTCAAAACTTTTGAACTCCCACTGATTGAATGCTGAAAGTTTTTTAGAAAATTAAACTGTATATCTTTAAATTTCTTCACATGAGAGAAGATTTGTTTAGATGGGGAATTCATTTTTTATCTAATCCAAATCTTTTTAGTGAGGGAGCATTCCAGTCCTGTCTCATGCTTGTCAAGTCCTCAATGAGTCAGTGTAGTCCTGCTGAAGTAGAACAACTGGGAGGTTACTATACCTTCCTGGAGACCGTCAGAGACTTCTCAGGTGTCTGTGAGGATCATTTTGCTACCTGTTCTCCAAATGACCTTATGACCTGTGGCATGGAGACCACTTTAATGATGAAGAAGATGGCGGAAGGGAAAAACATGACAAACAACAAAGACGATGATCCCTACTGCAGGTATTACATGTCATTTTTTTCTTCTTACAAAATTTTTTAGTTGTTTGTTTTGTTGAAAAGGTAAAAGAGAAGGTTCTGGATGGAACATAGGAACGTTTCATTCATAAGTTGTCAAGAAAAAAAAATGCAGAAAAGTCATTAAGAATTTGAAAAATGATGAAAGTGAATTTTTGTGACAGTATGCTACACATATTTTTAATGCACAATACTTTATATTTTCCAGTCATTTTGGAGCAACCATGAATTGTTTGAGATCTAACTCATTTGGCTGCTCCAAAGAGATCAAAATGGAGATTGTAAAAGGAGCAGAAGAGGCCTATTGCATTGCCAGCGACCTCCTCAAGTCCTGTGACAAAATGGAAGAACCCAAAATGGAGTTACCTAAATGTATGAAGAAAGGCCATATGACTGCTACTTGTAACACAACAGCAGCCTATGCTTGTTTGAAATACCTGTACTGGGAATTGGAAAGTCCATTCGTGGATTGCAGCTCAATGCATGAGTAAGTGAGATGCAGCAGTTACAACATGGTTTAGCTGGATTAAATTGAGGAAAAAAATTATAAAGTTTCTGTGTAAATTTTGATACAATTAAGTTTAAGCTTTGAATAAATAACTGCCTATATTTTTTAAATATAATAAAATGGTAAATTTTATTGTATATTTAATGTATACATTATAACCAATTACATTAAATGCATTCTTTAGGACCTACACAACCTCAATGCAGTGTTACATGGAGAACATAGGGAACTGCTCCTCAGGACAAATGATGATAGCCAATTCAATGCTGGGTATGATACACAAAGCCGTGTACAATGTCTGTCCCATGATTCCCGGAAACTCCTGCCAGGAGCCAATGAGCTGCGAGGCGGATCAGGCCATGTACTGCGTGGAAAGTCTGGATCGTTTGTTGTCTGAAGGTGGAAACATGGAGAATGCTCACATGTGCATGTAGGAGTCTGTTTTATGATTGAACTTGAGTTTTTAAACTTTGCTCAATTAATATGTCAATAAAGTTTATAGTGTGCTAAACAGCTTTATTTCAAATTCGTAATGGAAGTACTGTAGATTCCTAAATATATGCGTGGAATTAATTATCGCGTAATTTCGCGAGACGCACCAATAGCGAAATAAAATTACTTGCTTTTATTTTAATGGTTGTGAAATCTATGTAAAAGCTCTTGATCAAAAGAGCAGTTCGCGAATTATTATTCTCGCGCGTTGACGTTAAAGAGCCCATTCGCGATAAAAAGTACTCGTGAAAAACAAGGAATCTACAGTATTGTTTCTTGGAATTGAGACATTGAAGATACTATGCTTATACAGTAAAACACGGATATAACGAAGCGCTGGGGACCTCTAGATTTACTTCGCTAAAAGCATACTTCGTTATATTGTTTATAACGAATTTTAATAAACTAACAGCAAAATTCGCTATAAGCAAAAAATCGCTACTAATTTTAATGAGGTACATGTATTGTGAAACTTCAAAAAAAAATTCGCAGAAAATAAAAAAAACACGTTATTAATTCAAACATTATTTATAGTCATTAAATATTTATTTGTTTTGCACAAAATTTCTCAATTTTTGATGGTTTCAATCCAGTTAGCTGAAGTTTTTTCAAATGGTGGTTAATCTCCGCGAACGCTTTAAACACTGAGTCAGGAACATTTTCCGACGTACGCTCAACACAATTCTGCACTTTCTGCATGTAAATATGTGCTTCTTTAATATTGATTTCATCGGTCGGTAAATCTTCTTGAACGGATGTTTCATTTTCATCGTCACTCGACAGTTCTTTGTTGATAAGGGCATCAATAATCTGGTCATCATTCATGCTTTCTACAGACACGATATCTTTGTCAACATTCACGTAGTCATCACTACTTCCATCGAATGCGCATGCTCGCATTAATTCTGCAAGAGGCACGTCATCATCACTTTCCGAGTCAACATGATCAGCTGTCTATCGACCCGTACTTGACAAAATAATGGTAGAAAACCTTAATCACCACATGAATACATTTCATTTTAAATCAGACTTTTTTATTACGTGAAAAGAGTTCACTTGAAACAAAACTATCCCGCTTGGGGCCTCTATAGGTGATATTTAAAGCTAGTGGGGAATAACAGATTCTATTTATAGATAAGTGCATTCTTAGCCTTAAGTGAATGCCATTTTTAAATAATCGGAGTCAATTTTCAACTCGCGTTTCCAATTAAAAATAAACAAAACAAATCTTGCATTTGTTTTCCTCTGACATTTTTTAAAATAATGAGTTAAATATTCTGTTTTTACAACACAAGCCGGTCCCGTGTTTAGCTGTTACCTTAATGCGCGTCCATGCGGAAATGTGTGAAACCCTAAAGAGTGAAAACAAGGAATTCGCTATAAACATTGGAATTTCAGTGTTGTTTTAGCCAAAGGGGATTAAAAATTACTTCGTTATATCCGTTAATTCGCTATATTCAACATCGCAATAAACGTTAATTTTGGTAAGACATTTATAGAAATTCGGCCGGGGAATGACAAGTGCTGCGCTATAAGCGTAAATTCTTTATAAGCGTGATGGCTATATCCGTGTTTTACTGTAAATATTTCTTGAATTCAATAGGGCTGTTGAGATGGCACATGCCTGTGTAAAGGACAAGACAAGTCGCTGCTCTATGTTCAGTAAGGGAGCCCTGGATATGGCCCTGAATGCAGTCAAGGACAAGGCAGTCAAAGCCAGGAAAATGGACTGCTCTAACTCATTGGACCTCTGTATGAATAAGTTCTATTACTCTTCTCTCGGGGTACTTCAGGGAGAAATGATAATGACCAACTTATCCAAGATACGCAATCAAGTTACCAATCAGGTAATCATATACAGTGAAAGAGAATTATTACTATGATAGAAGTAGTATGTGTTATTCCCCCCCCTCCCCCCCAAAAAAAATTATATAAGCATTATGGATAGAATAGATTGAATCTGTGTATTTTTCAGTTTTTCATAATTAGCAGGTTAGATTTATTTCAAAATTCCCTGTAACGATTGCTTTGTTTGTAGATTTTTTTAAGGCTTGAAAAATCTGGTTTTTATGTACAGTTCAGTCCTTGTTGAGATTTAATTTGTACATTGCAGGATGTTTGTACCCATAGTTTTAATGTTTTTAGCTCACCTGAGCCAAAGGCTCAAGTGAGCTTTTCTGATCACATTTTGTCCGTCGTCCGTCTGTCCAGCTGTCCGTCCGTCCGAAAACTTTTCACATTTTGATTCTTCTCAAGAACCACTGGGCCAATTTTGACCAAACTTGGTACAAAGCATCCTTGGGTGAAGGGGAATTTAAATTGTTAAAATGCATATAAGGGGATATATATATATATATAAAAAATCTTCTTCTCAAGAACCACTGGGGCAGAAAAGCTGAAACTGTGTGGAAGCATCCTGGTATAGTGTAGATTCTAAATTGTTCCATGTGTGGGGGAAGACAATGGGGAATCAAAGTTTTACATAGAAATATATAGGAAAAATCTTTGAAAATCTTCTTCTCCAGAACCATGGGCCAGTAAAGCTAAACTTATGTGGAAGCATCCTGGTATAATGTAGATTCTAAATTGTTCAAATCATGACCCCCGGGGGAAGGGCAGGGCCACAATGGGGAATCAAAGTTTTATATAGAAATATATAGGAAAAATCTTTGAAAATCTTATTCTCAAGAACCCTGGGCCAGAAAAAGTGAAGCTTATGTGGAAGCATTCTGAATGTAAATTCTATTTCTAGGAATCATTCCCCCGGGGGAAGGGCGGGGCCATTATAGGGAATCAGAGTTTTTCATAGAAATATATAGGAGAAATCTTTGAAAATCTTCTTCTCAAACCACTGGGCCAGAAAAGCTAAACTTATGTGGAAGCATCCTGGTATAGTGTAGATTCCAAATCATGACCCCCGGGGGAAGGGCGGGGCCACAATAGGGTATCAAAGTTTTACATAGAAAATATATAGGAAAGAGAATTGTTACCATGTTAATGCATTTAAGTGTTATTAACAATAAAAAAAAAAGCACTGTATGTGAATAGAATATATTGAATTTATGTACTTCTTACAATTTGCAGATCTGATGTTATTTCAAAATTTACTATTTCTTTGTTTGCAGATTTTTTTAAGGCCTGAAAAGTCCTATTTTTTATGTACAGTTCAGTCTTTGTTGTGATTTAATTTATACATTGCAGGATGTTTGTTCCCATAGTTTTAATGTTTCTATCTATTTCAGATGATGTGGGACATGACTTATGGTAAGGACCCGATGATGAGGATGAGTCAGTGGAAGATGTCAATGGACAACATCTCATCCTCTGTCATCAACATGATGTCAAAGGAGATAGAGAAGTCTGTGGCGAAGATGATGAAGGAAGACAGGAGCAGTGAAGGGAGGATGATGGTGTATGACCTTCAAGTCTTGGATGTCATGACACGAGGACTGAAGAGTCACCAAGACATGTATCTGAAGGTCAAAACCATGCAATGCATGGGGGCCACCCAGGCTTTTAGTTGTATCATAAATAACCTCCGCAGCTCGACATCGGGTCTCCGTAGTGATGTGGCAGGGTTCATTGCAGGAGTGGGATCAGAGCTTTATGTGGTCATCAATGACATGTGTGCTAAGGAGAGGTCCTGTGATTTAATGGAGGGTGAGATTTACAAGCAGAGATATGAATTTTCAGTTTGCTTGATTTATTTCTTTGTATTTGGGAAAATTTTGAATGAAGCAATATGAGCAAGTATTTTAAAAAAAAAATGGATTTTTTTGTAGAGCCAGACACCTGTCAGATTCTCCCAGCAGCCACACTTGCCATGCACCAGGTTGGATCAATCATGGACATGAAGGCTTTCTGCGAGTAAGTTATGACTTCACTTGGTATACTAATTTATATGAATGATTCCGTAATAATGTTATCTTTGACATATCATGTAATAAAAATACACATTTTTTACAAGCTAGCAGTTATTTACATTTTGAAGGTCCTGTGACTCAAAATTTATTGAGTTAATTATGTTTTGCTCTCTTTTACAAGTATGCTGCCTGGCACCATACAGAATGTCACAGCACTGATCCAGAGCTGTAAGGATGATGAGGTGAGCTATCACTTCCGCGGTGCTTTGTCTGAGATGAAGGCAGCCAAGGACACCATGTGTAGGTCACAGACAGACTGTCAACTGGATGCCGCCAAGAAATGTATCAGTAGCTTCCAGGCCAACCCAAGCTGCAGGTCAGTTGTGTACATTTTTGTTATTGCTGAATTAAATGATTTGTTAAAACAGTTTTACAGTTATTTATAAATTTCAAAATGATATTGCTTGTAGAAATTAATTATATGTTTAAATGTTATATGTACTAAATAACACTTTTATTTAAAAAAAATTTAAGTGCATTTTAAGTTGAATTCAGTCATATTTTTGTCATCTTGTTGTAGATGATTAATTTTGAGTGATTAACAGGGATTATAAAATACATGATGTGGTTTTTCCCAATTTCAGTGCTTATGAGAGTACCCTGCAGTGTGTGACAGCCAACCTTAAGTCTTGTGATGGAGAAACAATCCGTCGTACAGAATTAGAACTACAAGCTGCTTATGACAAGATTGCATCTACCTGTATACCACTGCCAAATCTTGTAGTATGCACATTCTTACATTTAAAAACTTGTATTCTGCATATTCAGTATTCTTAATTAAATGAATGATAGCTACTTGACATAAAATTATACACATTTATTAAACATATTGTTACAAATATAAATTGTATGGCTATTCTTAGGATATGATATTCATTTTGTACTAGACATTTATAACATGGATTGTTTACTTCAATATTTGCAGACAAGTATCAATACCAAGTCCACCCTGCGGCTGATAGAGGGAGGTACAGAGGAGACCCTGGGTCTGAAGCTTTCTGAGTCCCCCAGTGACAAGTGTGAGGCCGGTAAAACTTGCCAGGTCAAGGTCAAACTCCAACTTAGCAACAACCCTGTCTCCACACCAATGTAAGTGGTCTGAATAAATATAGTCTCTACTCCACTGTCTACAAAGAAATTTAATTTTTTCATAAGTGAACTGCCAGTAACTGAGTTTTAAGTCACTGAATACCCTTAAATCCTTTACTACTTTTGACATTTAATTTTGATTATTATAGGTGCACCGAAAATCAAGAAAGAATACCACAAGTAGTTGTGTATAAAGGAGAGGGTGTTGCAGATCCATGTACTTTTACTTTCACTTCTGACAACTGGGAGAAAGGCACACAGATCCCTCTGGTGGCCAGCAGTGACATGTTGTATGACAGAGTCCAGGATGTCAACCTCAGTATGGTGGTGGAGAAATACACAGACAATCAGCTGGTTCTCACCAGACAGATGCCAGACATGAAGGTATATCATTCAAAGATACGAAAGGAAATACATGTATGTAGGAACAATCTGTTCAAGATGTCTCCTAGGGCCGAAGCAATTTTGACAGCTAGTTTACTTCATTTCAACATCAAAATAGGTGAAGATTAGTGAGTATGTGCTAAAATGTTTTCTCTTTGTTTTTTGTAGGTTGTTGCAACTGACACTGATCAGCCAGCTTTCTGTTCATCTTCTGACTCCTACATTGTTAGTTTTGATGGAAAGTAAGCAACTACATGTATTAGCTCATCTGAACAGATTTACTCTGTATTTGAAGTGCTCAATTAAAAGTTTTGCCATATGATTTTCACATATTATGCATTTTATGTGTGTCTATTCTCAGGACAGTCAAGAACAGATACAGAGGAGAATTCACATTGTACAAGCATGCTACCATGCCATATGAGGTAAAAAAAAAAAAAGATGTACTTCTTCTCATCAAATTTCTTTATAAATTCAATTATTGATAAATCCTAATTGTCAAAGCATCCGATATAATCACTTTTTCCTTTTGTTTTAGGTCCACATTCTGAATCAGGCCTGCACGTCTCGATCTAAGACCTGTACTTGTGCAGCTATGGTGAAGTCGCAGGATGATGTTCTGGTGGTCGATGTGTGCAGTAAGGCTCAGGGCTCTCCATTAGAATCTCCAGTCAAGTTGTACAAGAATGGAGACCTGGCTCAAGGAACTAAGATCTACCAGGACAACGACGGAAATCTCATCATGGTAAGACTGGGATCTGAGTGTTTTATACAGCTTAGATGTACATTGTATATTTAAACACATTCCATGTTTTTCATTTTTTATATGATTTTGACTGATTAAAAGAAGAAAAAGAAACAAGTTTTGCTTATGCTTGAGAGATTCCATTTCATTTTCAGGTTGAGTTACCGACAGCTGCCCTGGTTGTCATTCAGAGAGAGTCCAGCAATAAACTGGGTGTCTTTGTGGTGCCTTCATCTTTGGACTGGCTCAGATCTGAAGGTTTGTCTCTTAATTTTGGTTTGCCTACTCGTGCACTTGTGAGACTTTTTGTGAGACTTAAATACCTTCCTTGTATAAATTTACGTTTGAAGTTTATAAAATGAATGAATGTTTAAATGTCAACAAATATTTTTTCTTCCTTTAGGATTGTGTGGTGTGTATGATGCCAACAAGAACAATGACATGGCCATGCCTGTAACTGGTAGTCTGACCACCAACAAGGCTCACTTCATCAAGGGATGGAGGTTGGTGATAAAAGGCCATAGATAAATATTTGATAACATTTTCTCTTCTTTTTTACAACATAAATACATCTGTATTATCTTGTGATACTGATGTTGATTGTGTTTGTTCTTTCAATAGGAATAAGGCTGGTGACAGTCTGTATATTGGAGCACCTGCAGATCCTACCTATCAACCTCCAGTTTACTGTACCTGTACCGGAGATAACACTCTAATTCAGAACCGGTGTGAACCAATGCTGATATCAAAGACCTGTCCTCTCACAACATCAGGTATAATTTTGCTCTTTATGAAAGGTTCTTGATTGCCTCCTTCTAACAAGAAAATCTATTCAATATTTGGCAGGGTTAAGCTAAAAAAAAAAATAATCACTACGATAGGCTGTTTGTAAAGAAAAGATAAATGCATCTGAGCTAACAATATCAACTATACTGACTTATGAAGGAATAATTTTCTTAAAGGCAAGGATGTGACTGCGGAGATGGTACAGCTGTCTAACTCTGTGGGTAACAGGAGAAACAAGAGGGCTGTGGAGAGTCCATGGGCAGGACTGTCTGGTATTGATGTCAACTATGATCCTCAGGTATGTGTAAAATGTTAAATTGGGTAATATTTAAATGTTGGTAATATTAAAATGTTAATTAAGCTAATCAAATATTTTAGAATGGTACTTTCATCTTTAAATTATTATTTAAAAGCAATGAGAGGGAGATGAGTTGAAGTGGCCATGATTTTAAATTGTGGTTACTATTTGAGATTTTTTTTTCTCGCAAGATTTTTCATCCCATTATGAAGTCAGAATATTTTTCTCAGAGGTTAATAAGATATATGCTTGAGAGAAATGAAATAGAGTTTAACATGTTTGCCTGCATTTTTAATAGGACACAGAATTGACAAGGTCTGCCTCAGGTAACTGGAATCTGACAACGGGGGGTCAATACTGTGACAGTATGATGGGAAGCAGTACACTAATGAACAAGTGTCAGACACTGGTGGGCTCCAGCTTCACAGAGGCCATCCAAGACATCTGTGTCCAAACCATACTGGTAAGTGATTCCAAACCATACTGGTCAGTCTGTCACCTGTATAATGATTAAATTTCTTTAAGGTATTTCTATTATTAATTCAATAATTTTTTTTTATCTAAAAGCCAGTTAGAATTTATATATTTTGGAGACTCATTTGTTGAGATATATGATAAAGCTTTTCTTCTCTGTTGACTGATGTACATAAATGCCTAATTGCTTTGTGAACTGCAGCATTTAACCATTGAAATATCTGATATTTTGATGAGACTGTGACTAAATATCACAATTACATGTATCTTGAGAATTTTATTTTTCTAAAAACAGATTATCTTCATTACTTAACAGACAAACGATGGCACCAGTGGTGTATCTATAGACAGCATTGTAAAGGTCCAGTGTGAAGCCCAGCTCACTAAGATGGCCCCCACCATGAGTACAGACACAAGCTTCCAGACTCTGTCAGCAGAGATCATGACCCTGGTGTGTCCTAATGACTGTAGTGGCAACGGGCAGTGTGAAGGAGGTAAAGTGAAAGTAGCATGATTGTGTCAACAGTCAAGATGTATATGGTTTTTGTGTAATAAAACACTTAAAAAAAAAAAAATGTTAAAATTCGATTCTGTATTAAGATATTTTTCTGTTTAAAAGACTGATTAATCTTTACTTATAGTATTGTACCAATTTGATTTCTCTATGCGTAGTGTTTGCAAATCTTTACTTAAACTGAGTATTTTACCAATTTAAATTCTATACTTGTGATAAGTGTTTGCAAATGAGTAGTTTTTATCTTTTCACTATATACTGGGACTTGCTTTATTCCAGGTCAGTGTAAGTGTTACCGTGACTACATTGGAGCTGACTGCTCTATCCAGGAGTCGGCAGCGCCCTCTATCACTAGCCTGGAAGCTGACGGTCTGTGTTCTCTACAGAATGGAGGCTGTAGGACAGTGCTAGTCTCTGGTGGACCATTCTCTGAGGATCTGTCTCCTAAATGTCACTACCAGGCTACTCAGGTAGACCCTTAGCAGGACTTACTGACCCTCATACGGAGACTTGACTGTATAATTTCTTTTAATAATAAGCACAGGCCTTTTGATTGCTTAAAAAATTTGTGTGTGTAAAAAAAGATAAAGGTATGGCACTCTTACACTTGGTATCCAATTTCGCTAATAAAATATTTTTTAATCAAATGCTCTAAAATTTTACTTTCTATTTAAATCTATTCATAGATAATCGATCTTCATTTCTACCGAAGCTCATTCCGAAATTCCAAATACTTCTCGAGATATTCTGATATCAATTCTAAAAATGACCTACTTTTTTTTACTCGACATTAGCTTGGGCCCTGGTCATTCACATGTAAACAGATGGTGTTTGAAGTGCAGGGAAGAGTTGCATAGTATTTGCAATATCTTTCAACATTTTAAAGTTGATTTCTTACTCCAGGTTGTTACGTTAACTCCATAGTAATTCCTTGCACGAGAAATTAATTTGAAAGTGTCTATATCAACAACTGCACCGCCATGTTTATTATGAATGTAAAAGAAGCTACGGTTGAACGAATTTTTCCCGCAATGTATAATATACTTTTAAAAACAATTGGACCGCTAAAATGTTGTTAGTGACTTAGTTAGTTCATATGATTAAATTAGAGAAAATCTTGTAAAGCTCGAATGCAAATGAGCAAATATGCATCGAGTATATAAAGTAAAATCCGGGAAAAATTTGTCCTGTCGTTCCCGCTTAACAATTAGTGTAGCCCTTCAAAGGCCCAAGCTGATGTCGAGTAAAAAAAAATAAGGTCAATTTTGGGATTTATTTCAGAATATCTCGAGAAGTATATGGAATGAACTTTAGTAGTCATGAAGATTGTTTATATATGAATAGATATGGATAGAAAGTAAAATTGTAAAGCATTGATTTAAAAGAATTTTATTGGCGAAAGTAGGTACCCTATGAAAAGAGTTCCATACCTTTATTTTTTTTTTTTTTTACACGTCAAATTTTTTTCTAAGCGATCTAAAGGCCTGTGATAATAAGGGTTAAATATCAACACCATCATGTTAAACCTCCATTTGTTTGTTTTTTAAATGAGAAAAAAATTACATTTTATATTGAATTTTCACATTTATTTGTAGTGTTTTCGTATAAACTGTTTTAAAATCAAATGACAAATTTCAATACTTCCAAAAGGTCAATATTTTGTTGCAGTGTTACATGGCACAGTTGTTTTAGGGGGGAGCTTCCAGCAATTTTTGAAAAGGGGAATAAATTTGAATTTAAGTACCCTTTAAGTGGAATGGTTGATTCTCGGATAATGCTTATAAAGTGGAATAGATGATACTCTCATAATGCTAAGAAAGTGGAATGGTTGATACTCTGATGATGCTTATATTTACATGTATCATTCTTTTCTAGATGACCACTACTGGTTTCTCGGCAACTGGCAATGTCATCCACTCCCCAGCCCAGTTTATGACCTCCACCCTATTAGTGTGTACCGTTCCCGACTCCCTGTCAGCCCCCGCTGGTACCGCTGTCTCAGCTATCAGTCTGTCTGTCAGTAACAATGGGCAGGCCATCAGCCAACCCAAACTCTTTATCGCCTACCACCCAATGTGTTATGTCTGTGAAAGCAGTGGGCAGTGTAACACTACAGTAAGTTATAATGTTATCAATATTAATTGACTGAATTTATTATTTCTGTAATAACATATACTTGTTTTATTTCACATTGTATCAGGAATAATTAGAGAACTCAATCTAATAGTCCTTCAGCTGAGAATATTTCACAGTTTTGATCTTTTCATTTCTTCTTGTGTAGACAACAGGATGCGTTATAGGTGGTAAATGCTACGTTGCCAATGAAGTCAATCCCAGCACTATTTGTGAATTCTGTGATCCTGTCACAGTAACTACAGATTGGACAAAGAAAATTGGTAGGTATAAGTGAAAGAAATAAAGTCAATATACAAGTATTATAATATTAAACAAACTTTCATTTCGAAATAAAGACACTGATATGGGCACTATTGATAAAACACATAAAAAATGCATTCCTTTCTAAATTGCATACCTGTTCACCCTCCCACATCCTAGGAGGTTCTCACAAAATAAATTATATCACCTAAAATAAATCCATCTGAATTCAACCAACAATACACCATGCATTATTATGCACACCAGAGGCCTGTTCAACACAGCGAGCGCTCTCGAACATTTCTATTGGAGGTATAAAGAATTTTGGAGAGTGCTCTTGAACTTCTTGTTGCTTTGTTGAACAGGCTTCAGACTAGCTCCTATACTTATTAATCACTGATCTCTATTCTACTATTTGTAGTGCCAGGATGTCCTGGATCAGATTCTAACCCTACAACCACCACCACCCCTACCACCACTACAAAGACCACCACGCCTAGTAACCCTAATGGTTCTGGGGGTCAGGGTCAGGACAGGCAGTGCTCCACCCCGGCCCCAGTGGTAGAGCAGGATAGGACCCTAGCCATCATTCTGGGGGCCTTCGCCGCCCTCTTCTTCCTCACCACTGTGGTCATGGGCTGTAAGGCTTGCCGCACATCAGGGTAAGTACTGATCAGTAGCTTACTGTAGCGCACTCTTACTTAGTGGTGTCTTTTAATCACAGAGAGTCTATAGGATATGGCCATTAGAGTTCTTAAATTTAGTAAATGGTACAAGCAAGTCTCTTTTTTTCTCTTATAATTTTATAGAATATTTTTTTTGCTTAAGTAAAAGAAGTAAAAAATTCTAGTTTTAAGTGAAATGGAATGTTAGGGAGAAGTGAATCAATGACTTTACCGTCAATATTGAAAATTGTTTTTCAACAGGTTTAAAAATCATAAAAAAAATCCTATATTTACTTAACTCTCTGTGATTAATTTGATAACAATAGTAGATTTCAAGTTTGCATGTAAAGACTAGTAACTGTTATACATGTAGTTAGTAATTACACAACTAACATCTGACCATTTTTTATGCCACTTAAATCCCAGAATGCTTTTTTCCTGAGTATAATGTGCGTTTACTTATTACACTGCATATTTCTACCAAGTTTCCAAAGCACTGCTTGTTGACTTCACTTCACAGAATAACAAATGCTACATGCACATTTCTTTCTTTTTGAACTGAAACATGAGTTTTCTTGACCACGCCTACCTCAGCCCCACAATTTGAAGAAAATTCAAAATATAATGATATTCCCTATCCACGAAGAATGATTTGTACATCATCTAGTATTTTACAATGTTTTCAATGGAAGAAAGGACTAAAAGATGAGAATGAAATGAAGTGTGTGGGTTACAAGACAGATTTCTTGATGAGGATAAAGATTAACATGATTCCAGATAGAGAGATTGAACTGGACAGAGGAATTTATAAATTCTACCCACAGTAGAACATGCAACCTGATAAAGGAAATGAAAGGCTTCATGTTTTAATTTATCCTTGTAGATCTTTAGATAGGTTTTTCTTAAATTGTATGCTTGCTAGACACCAAGTATCTGTGCTTTAGTATGCTGTTAATCTGAACGATATTCAGTGTAGATTTTTGTAATCACTTTTCTGGACTTTTGAGAATCTCTGTGCTTCTTAATGAATTGATAAAAACAAAGGATATCAAAGGAATGATGGACTTTCTTTACTGTACACTCATCTAGACTTCATGCTTCAATGTGCTGGGAGTCTTAACAAAATTCAGAGATGATGATAAATTATGGCTTTTTGGACTTTAAAGGATCTGCTGTAAATCTTAAGGAAGTTCAGGGATGAGAGAACTACCCAATATTGTTAATAGCTTCCTCTACACTTTTAATTTTCCCTTAGCTACTGCATCTAAGTTTTGTTTTATACACGTCAAATTAAGTTCAATAGAAAGATGTAGCGCTTAACACGAGTGTGTTCCATTCTCTGCACCTATTAGTTCTTTTTCCTTATTCTCAGTAGTTGTATTTGATGAAATTTTTTATTTTGAAACAGTATTGTTCAAATTGCGATAAAAATAAAAAATGCACATATTTTTAAATATCAGATTTCAGAGATTATACAAAAGAAGTTTAAAAGCCCTATTTTTCCTTTCCAAGTGTTCTCTTTACAATTTGGGTAGTTGTGTGTTATGTTTTATACTGACCTTGCAGGGGAACAAAACACAAATCTCTCATGTCTGATGACAAAGGTTCCAGGCTCAGTTCAAATTCAGCGTCCTCCATAGAAGAGAAAAATTCTTCGGCCTTTGTCAATGAAACTTACAATGACAATATTAAGGAAGTGGTCGTTGATCCAAAGAGTTCCTTTGTTTACGGAGCTGTAGCCACTAAAACTGAACCTAAAGCTAAAGGAAGCGACCCAACCAGTCTATACCCCGATGTAGAGGGAGTCGAAAATTAAAGACCATCACTAACATATAGAAAGTAATACTTTAGTCACACTTATTATGGTGAAATGATAACTCTGTGTAGTCATGCACATAACATAGAAATTTTGGACTCTGGTTTTGTTTATATATTATGGAAAAGCATGCAAACTATTTAAAATAAAATAAAATATACTGTGGAATCATTTTTAATTTTTGGGGTCAATGTTTGTGGAGATAAAGATTTGATTGTTTGTGGTCAGCGTACAGGGTTATTTTTGCCCCGTGTTATTTTTGCCCTTTTACACTTGCTCACAAATTTGCCTCATTTTGAATTCGCCCAGTCCAAGTTCTGTATAAGAATTTATACTGTGTTCTTTGAATTCCCCTACTTGTGGCGAAAGGGGCAAAAATAAAAATGGAGGCGAAAATTTCCTTGTATACAGTTATCTTTTATACATACAGAAGATTCAATAAACTTGACGTTCATAGAGATGTACATTCTTGTTTGAGGATAACCCAATTATCCAAGAACATTGAACATTTGTTAATAGTGATTCCTCAGTGTTTCATACATTTATGTTATCTCTAATTATTCATATTGCTTACATTGAAATTTGCAGCTTGTTTCCTAAATTTAGGGTGAAAAATTTATTGTGTTTTTGACTTCCAAAAAACAGTAATGCTGTACAATTTTAGAAATTTTCTGTCTGTAGAAAAGATTGCTAAAATTTTGAATTAAATGATCAATGTCAGGTCTTTTTTTCAGGAACTTGCTTTTAATTGTTCAGATTGTCAAAAAACGTTTCTGTACTTGTAGGTCATCAAAGAGTAGTAATGGAAAATCCTCAGGATCTAGTAGTATTGAAGATCCAAAAGACTATGACAATGTAGGTTTTACACCCTACACCAAACAGAGTGTATATAGTGCTGGTCCTATTGTAGAGGATCCACCTACAAAAGACCCGACCCTTAGTACATTCGGAAAATTCCAAGATAATGCTGCTTTTGAAAATGAGAGTGCCTCTTCTACTCCACTGTGATAAATATATATATCATATCTGTTTATTTCTTTTGTTCATATATATAATCAATTTACTTGCATTAAAATTATGTAATGGTTCATGAGATAAAGTGCATTTCTTTTTGTTACTTAATATTTGTTGATGCAAATTCATGTTTAGTTTCAACAGTTTTAATCATATCAATTCATCCGTCTTTTTTTTAACCTTTCATTCATAGGTTATATATTTTCTTCTATCATGTATACTCAGAAAAAATTATGTACGTCAGGGTAACGCTGTTAAATACTATGTTTTTTGTTGCTGCCATGTTGAAGTTTTCTTAAAATTATATTTTTCTATTCTTTTCTAATAAAACAACCATAAATCTTTCTTATTTTTGAGTATAATTGGTTGGATAGCTATACAGATGTATTGTTCAAAAGGAAAGTCAAACACATCCTAACAACAGCACCATACCATTCAATAAACAGAATACGCCCATCACTGTACTTGACCTTGGTTAAATTAGCTCTGGGATTAACTGTGTCTTGCACATCTATGTGAGAAATATAACTAAACAAGATGTGTTTGTGAAACACTATGTGCCCGGTGGCAACAAATTTTAAAAAAGATATTTTTAGCATAAAGGTCACATTGAAGGTCACAAGGTCATTGATCTTGGTGTCATTTGAAAGAGCTTGATTAGTGAAGTATGCATACCAAATATCAAGTCTCTATCTTTCATGGTTCAAAAGTTATGGTGAAGGTTCAAAAAAGCTATTTTTAGCATATAAGACACAGTCAAGGTCACAAGGTCGTTGACCTTGGTGTCATGTGAAAGGGCTTCATTAGTGGAGTATGCATGTTAAATATGAAGTCTCTATCTTTCTTCGTTCAAAAGTTATGGCGAAGGTTAAAGTTTGCCGTCAAAAAAGCTATATTTAGCGTATAGGCCACAGTCAAGTCACAAGGTCATTGACCATGGTGTCTTTTAAAAAAGCTTAATAAGTGTTGTATGTATACCAAATATGAAGTCTCTATCTTTTATAGTTCAAAAGTTATGGCAAAGGTTAAAGTTTGCAAAAAAACCTCTATTTTTAGCATATAGGTCACAGTCAAGGTCACAAGGTCATTGACCTTGGTGTCATTTGAAAGAGCTTCATTAGTGGAGTAGGCATACCAAATATGAAGTCTCTATCATTCATGGTTCAAAAGTTATGGCGAAGGTTAAAGTTTGCAGACAAACAGACAGACAGGACAAAAACAATATACGCCTCGGATCTTTCGATCCTGGCGCATAAAAAGTCATTTGATATTCTATATATGAAACCGTGTTAATAATTAAGTAGACAATTACATGTTGTCACTCATTGACCTTCCTGTGTTGACCCTGGAATCAAATAGTTACTTCTTCAGGTCACAAGCATGTCTGTTACAAATATGATATGGAAAGGATACGCTTTAAAAATTGTCTCCAATTTAACTTGCACTTGTTGTAGTCTTTGACCCTCTAAAGACTAGGATGTTTCTTTGATTATCTTAACTTATAAGCAAGTTAAATGACAAAATTGTTTAATGCACAATACTATGCATATGTGCCGTTATTGTCAGGAAGGTGGCATTTGACAAATTAAATTATCACTTGTTTACGTAAGTGACATATGGATAAGTCAGACATTCCATATACCCTGGTATATGAGTATGTATCAACGACAGTCGTACAAACAAAATACTATAATTACTGTAAGCTGTTAAGGGGGCAAAGCAAGGTGCAAGACCATGTCTATATTCCTTCTTATAACACATGTATAAAAATAACTAAAGAAATACAAACAACAGGAAATTTTAATGAATATTTTCGCACAAACCAAGATTATTGTAATTTTTCTACATCCATGCATATCTCTCCTCTGAAATAAAGGTTAAAAAAAATTATTCATACATATTAGATTTTTCAAATTTAAGTTTTATAGGAATGTAAAAAAAAATTATGATAATAAATGACTGAGAACTCACGCCTTCTGTATCGCTTTGGGACCACCTTGAGTTCTTCCAGCCTCTGAAAGGAAAATAGTTCTTCAGTTTAACAAAAGTTAATGTACTAAATGTTTGACAAGCATAGAAACAATATTAGAGGTAAAAACACGCAAAAGGCGTATTTTGTTGAAAAATGGTTACGACACCTATCAAAAACGTAAAAACGCGTAAAAAATGTAGAAAATCGCGATAAAGCATTGAATAACGTCTATCCAGAGGTTATGCATAATGATAAGGCATTATAACAACTTTTAACAAGATGCATTTGTAAAACAATAATGTCCCCGTATGACAACTCACTTAAGGTTTCTTAAGTTTCTTAATTGCAATTAAAATTCAAGGTCATAAAATTCAAGGTCAAGATATCAAAAATGTTTTGTACCCAAAAGGTCTTGTCAAAAAAGAAATACACCTGTATAATATGAAAGCTTTAGCACCAACTGTTCAAAATTGATGACCACAGTGTTTTCAACAGTAGGTCAATGCCAAACGGTCAAATTAAAGATGCCCAATGAAAGGTCTTTTCACAAGAACTGTACATTTGAAATATAAAAGCTCTAGCACCTATTAAAAAATTATTTCAAAATTAGCTCAAAATCCAAGGTCAATGTCGAAATATTATACTGTTGGTACCTAAAGGAAAATCGTGTCCCAAGGAAAGACCTGTGCAACAGGAAGACTCTAGCAACAACTATTCACAAGTTATGGCCAAGGTTTAAATTATTATAAATATAATTTTGCAAATGTGGTTCAAACTAAAGTTTTTGTGGTGAAACAGACAAGCCAGCCAGAAAGACAGATGAATGGGCATATAAAAGTCATTGTCCCCCGAATCTTTGAATACAAGGGCATGTGAAATGTTATATCACAAAGTGAATAAAATTAATGCGTTGTTATGAAATATGTGGAGATAACGAACAATATTCAAGATCAAAAGCCAGAAAAAAAACAATACAAAATAGAAGCAGAGTATTGACCATAGAACTTAAAAATGATGACTTTAAACGAGACTGCTGAAATTCTTGTTTCATCAACTTGTTTGTCAATAACTTACCTCGTTTTAAAAATTGTTCATTCGTAGAGCATGCTCTAGCGTATCGAATCAATTGAGATATATAAACTCTGTATGCAGGTGATGAAGGTATATTGCTGCATAAGTAAGGGAAGTTGGCGATAGAAACGTTAAAGTCATTACGGTTATCATGGAGCTTGGTTCACTTGTTAAATTACCATTAACGTCTTTTTCAAGTAAAATATCCAAATATGAAACAGATTTTTCAGAGTTCGTGGTGTCTTTTATCTCAAGCTCACCAGGATATATCGTATCCACATAAGAATGGAAAATTCTATTTTTAATTGACAATACGTCGTCGATATATCTAAATGTCAAGTTGAAGGCCACAGCAAGTGTTTTCTTCTTTACACGTACAAGATTTTGCACAAATTCTGCTTCATATGAATACAAAAATAGGTCTGCTAATAAGGGGGCGCAATTGGTACCAATGTATATTTCTTTTGCACAAGAAGATGTGTATGCCCCCTTATGAAGGCTTAATGTCAAAATCAAAAATTCTCAAATACAAGTCGAACTCTAAGTTCAAGAGATAAAAAATGTTGCCAAAAGAAAGACCTTGTCTTAGTTAGTAACCCTGTAAAATATGAAAGCCAAAGCACCAAATATTCAAAAGACGACCAAGGTTGAAGTTTTTAAGAAAGTGGTTCAACCCTCAAGATAAAGATTCAAGTTTTTATGGCTTTTACATTTAACAGTTGTATTCCTTGTGCTTTCTTTGAGTATTCCCCAATTTAACTTCTTGACCTTGGAGTTTGACCTACTTTTACAAAAATTACCAAACATAACTTTTGAACATCAGTATATTCTCTGTGGCAAGACCTTTCAATGGGTATAAATATTTTTGACCTTTAGTCAAGTTTTGGAAAAAAACTTATACATTGACCATAATTTTTGAACAGTTGGCTTTTATATTTCAGAGGTATATTCCTTGTGATGTAAGACTTTCCCTTGGATACCATGAATTTTGACCCTCTGACCTTGACAATGGAGTTTGGATCACCTTAACTATAAATTTTGAACAGTTTGTGTTTGGGACATCATTTTCACAGATAATATCAATTGAGACAACTCCTTTCTTGTAATGATAGCATTTTTAATATTTTGTGCCTAACTTTGGAGTTTGCCTTGCATTTGAGAAACTTTAACCTTTGCCAAACGGACCGGAGGCATCAGTGTTTCACAAAACATCTTGCTTAAATGAGTCCTTTGCCAGTTTTTAAAATTTATGCCTAAGTCAGAGTTAGGTCAGAGACCATAAGATGGCATTATGAAAATAAATGCACCTTGGTCATTGTAGCAGGCAAACTGATAATATCTTGACTTTAATGAGCGTCAACAAATTCTGACCAAACATTAAAATTCAAATTCCTGCTTTTCATTTGACCTTTTATCCATTATAATGACTTTCCATTTTGCATTATGTGTCTTATATATATAGAAAAAAATCTGTTGGTGTGGCCTTATGCGTGTTTGCGTTATTCAATGATTTTTATGACCCTTGCTGACAAAATTTGTATCGGAGAATGCAAAAAGGGAATAATGGTTTTAGTACGCTTATTGAGAATTCAATAAATCAGTAGTGTTCTGAAAAAAGATTAACTTAAATGCAATTTTTTTTAAGTTCTGCAATACAAAGTTTGGGTTAAATTACATGTCTGCGCTCTGTCCAACCGGACGAGGATCCAAACCAAGCATCGCTGGAGGAGCACGTGTTCCGACGGCGACGTTCATTGTACTTCTTCCTCACCTGCAAAAAATAATTAAATGAAACAAATCTTCTATAAGAAACACCT